TGAAATGAGCGCGCGCCGCCGCGCCACGCCCCATGGCACCCCGCGGCGCGGCGGGGCCTCGGCGGCCTCAGCGCGAATAAGCTTTATGAATATGGTTCAGGCCCCTCCCACTCGGATGCCGGGTCGCGCTCTATTGGCGCGCTGACACGCTGCGAGTGTGTGTGTGTGTTTATTTGTATGTGTTCACCTCCACGCCGCGTCTGATGGCGCCATAGGCCTCACGAGTCGTGCCCTTTTGTCTCCCTTACGTTTTCCTGCTTCCGTGTGCCTGTGTGAGTCTTCACACACACGCACACACACACACACACACACACACACACACAGAGACAGACAGACACACACACACACACACACACACACACACACACACACACACTCTTGGGCCCGTGTAGGCATGACCGCGCTTGGATTGGGGCCGCCCGTAAAATATTTAACTCTATGCCATACCTGTGCGCAGTCATGGGAGATAGTCCAATTGGCGGGGGCGGAGAAGAGAGCAGCCAGCAGCGGTTGGCGGTGGTGGGAAAAAGGGAGGAGGGAAAGGAGGCGAAAAAAAAAGACAATCGGAATATTTATAGATTTATACTCCCTCTCGGTAAGCCGCGCGCGCGCGCGCACTAAATGCAGCTTCTTCCATTATGCAGTCTCGTCTGTCTGCTATTTTTTTTCTTCTTTTCTTTCTTTTTTTGCACACTTACTTACACCTTCACTTCAGCCCTCTACGTAGTACCGAGGTTGGTGGCCACAGGTTTGCAGGACGGTTTTGCCCGACGTTTGGAAGCCAATCAAGGTTCAACAATCCAAAGTTGTGCATGACTTTACACCTGCACAAATACGTCAGTTCTTGTACTATACGAAAAGTCCCTGTTACAAAACTTACATTGAGGAGATTGTTATTTGATTGCATCGGCACACTGAGAAAACCTTACAAACCATTTTGGGCCTTAAAGTAGTTTGTATAACAAAGTATTTTGAGCATACGTAAGCTTACAAAGAAAATACTTCGTAATTTACGAACTATTTCTTCGTATAACAAAGTATTTTAGTTTGTTGCATGTATGTTCAAAATACTTCGTAAGGTTTTAAGAGTGCAGTTACTGTGTAAAAGGTGGAAATTGTCGTTGGAGCGCAAAATGACGTCTGGTGAAGCGCTGGTGCCGATGTCGTTGGTTGACGGATTGCCAGGAGTGTCGAAAGAAGGCCATCCGGACGACGGTGGCGGCGCGGGGCGGGGCGGGGAACGCCGCACCAAAATACAATCTGTGTATCTGATCGGACGACGGCGCCGTAAAAAGAAGAGGGGGGAGGGGGGCACGGAGGACGACGCTGTCTTTCCGTTTTGAAGTCTCGCGTCATGAGGAGCGGTTTAATTTGATGTTCGATGCTGACGTGCAGATGCGCGCCGCACAAAGACCCGCTCCCCGCCGCCTCCCCCGCCCCCGTCATCTTCTCGAGACCAACTAATTAATTTAATCGAGCATTTCTGGCGCCAGCGCCGCGCGCGGGGATCGAGGGGGGGGGGGGGGGAGGCCGTGGGTGGGGGCGTCGCGACCCTGCGCCGTAGCCACCAGCTCACCGACGGATTTTGAAAGATTTCTGCTGTCGTATTTTTGTGTTAGTTTATGGCGGCCGTGGGCGACGGCTCGAGCCTCCCCGTCGGAGGGTCAGGCAGCCCTTATCAGGCGATAAAGGGCTGGGCGTCCTCGGCCAGGTCGCCTTCTCCTCCTTCTTCTCGTTGTCCTCGAGGCATGAAAATTCTCTTACTAATTTCCCCATGCTCCATATGGTTTGCTGCTCTCCCTCCGCGGCCGCCACCCTCCTGGCTGGTGCCTGCAGACTGATTCCGAGAGTCATTTCCGTCGCTCTGTCTCTGTCGCACTCATGGATCGTGCCGTCTAGGTGCGAGAGAGACAGAGCGACGAAAACGACTCTCGGAACCAGTCCGCTGGCTGGTGCGAGTCCCCCAGCATGATTACCATTCTTCTATTTATTCTAATGGTGCTCCCCTCCCCCTCCTCCTCGGCCACGACGGGGTAGATCTGTCCGCTTGCCTTCCCCGCATTCTTGCCCCGCGGGGCCAAATCGCGGGTGTAGTAGTACGACGTGGCCGAAGTGTCTGCACGAGGTGCTGGTGGCCGAGCAGTGCCCCATTGACCTTAAAAACGGCGCGCGAGGCCAAATGAAGCTGCCTCTTCCAGGAAGCCGTATAGTGTTGCACCAAACAATCATGATGGCCATGCAAAGATGCAAAGCAGTCCTCCGATATGTCAGCCAAATAATAGTGTAATCGCTGGCGTTCCAGTCTCCTTTTGTGGCTCCAAATCACTTTTCCTTGCCCTTCGTCGTGCCTGTCTCCGGACGGTCCGTGGACGGTCTCTGGACGGTCCGTGGACGGTCTCTGGACGGTCCGGCCGCGGCCGACGCTCCCCCATTGTCTCTGGCTGGAGGTCGCCGTGTTATGAATGCGATGCCGGATTTCACACCTGTCAGCCTCGTCGCTCACCTGGAGGGAAGTGCCCCGCCCCGCCCCGCCCCGCCCCACCCCGCCCGCGAGACACGCCGCGGAGACATTCACATGTCCGGGACAAAAAGTCGTCCATCGCGGGCCAAAAATGTAAAGCAACAACAAAAGCACCGGCAGCAAGAACAAGGACAAGAGCAGCAACAACAACAACGGGGACCGGACCGCAGCCCAAAACCGTTGTCGTGTCATGACGTCTATGCCGGGGCGGCTAGGCCGGGGCGGCCGGGGCCGTGGCGCGTGAAAGCGTCTATTTATTGAAGGAAACTTTCCCTCCGCCCCCTCCCTCCACCCCCGCCGCCCCCACCGCACAGGGCTAGTTGTAACGATACGCAAGACAAAGAGACAGCCACCCACCGCCCCCGCCGCACCCCGCCTGCACCGTCGCCCATGACATTAAAAGTTACTCCTCCTTCTCTGCGGAATGTCCCCCCCTCCCTTCCCCTCCGCGAGTGCGAGTGTGTGCGCGTGTGTGAGCGCGCGTCTGTGAGAGAATGTATTTTGTGTGCGCAGCTTTTACAATTGACGGGTCGGTCCATGAGACAGATCTCAGATCCGACCGAGGAGGGGTAAGGCGAGAGAACGGGTGGAGGTGGCCGCGCCGCCTGGAGGGGAGGGGAGGGGTGGCCGCGGCCGCGCGGCAGGTGGGGGGAGGGGAGGGGAGGGGAAGGCGGTGGAGGGGAGGGGCGGCCGGCCGGCTCCGCGGACGCCGTAGCGCCGGAGGAGGGAGGGTAGAGGAGGCGGAGACTGCGCCCGTTGCTCGCATCGGCCGCCAGAGCGCAGCACAGTCCACCGGCCCGCTCTGGCGGCTCTGGCCCTCCAGATTGGGTCGAGTCCTGCCTGCTGGCTCGGGCTGCTCCAGGGGAGAGGCAGTCAGTCAGTAGAGTTCGGGCCGCCGGTCTGTGAGGAGTCGGACGCACCGTGTGCGTGCGCGTGTGTGTGTGAGCACGCGGCACGCGTCCGGCCAGCGCGTGTGTGTGTGTGTTTGTGTGTGTGACGTCACCCCCACCCCTTCGGCTCATCGATGTGTGTGACCAGTGGACATGGTGCAAGATAGTGTCTGCACGGAGATTCCCGGTACGGCGATTTGTGTTGTGTGTGTGTGCGCGCGCGCGCGCGCGTGTGTTTGTGTGTGCAAGATTCAATTCGGATATATTGGTGCTCTTGTTTGTGTGTTGTGATTGATGTGAAATCAGTTCGGGGCCTCCCCAATACGGGGTTTGAGGATGTAATCAAGGTGCTCCAGCCTGGAAGTGCGCGGCGTGTGTGTGTGTGTGTGTGTGTGTGTGTGTTTTGTGGGGTGTGTGTGTGTGTGTGTGTGTTAGTGCGGCTCCCCTGGGAAACTCGTCCTGGACTCTCTAGTTTGTCTGCAATCGGCGCATGATCGGCGGACCGTCGGTGTCGGCAGGGCACTGCCAGCACACTGCAAGCGATACGTTTAATGCGTTAATCAGGACGCATTTAATGTGCCCGGCTCCTGGATCCGATTCCAGTTTCGCGGCCGCAGAGACCGAGAAGCAGCTGGGGGGCGAAAATGCAAACTAAAGACGCCATACCGACGGTCATTAAATTTTATTGGGCATGTATTAAAACCCTCCACACTTTGAGTGCGCGTCGGGGCGCAAAGGGATATGCGTATGAGTTTTATTGCGAGGGGGTAACGAAGCCAAGTGCACTGTGTGTGTGTGTGTGTGTGTGTGTGTGTGTGTGTGTGTGTGTGTGTGTGTGTGAGCGCGTGTGCGTCGTGCGCCTGTGTTGGAGTCGAGGACAGTTTTAAATATCGCAGACGCTTTCCCATTTGCCGCTTGACTTTAACGGGGCCACCCGTAGGACTCTACGTGTACCCGCGTCTGTCCGTCTGTCTGTCTGCGTGTTTGCGTGTACCTGTGTACGGTTTACACTTAATTTCGCCGCAGGGTCGTATTTTAGGAACATTAATTAATTAACCGGTTGTGCTATAGGCGGAAGACGATCTCATTGAAGTTAGTGACAAAACTATGGACAGTGTAGGACACAGTTATGAAACATCCCTGCTGCTGCAGTTAAAATTTATTAAAATTAATTGATTGGAATTTAATTAGAAATTAGTTATGATTATAAATGGAAAGTTTCATGAGTTTTAAAATTTAAAAGAGTGTTTCGGTCCTAAATTAGTGCCTAAATTTTCCACTGTGTTCACCAATCGGACTTTGTTTTCCTGTGGCGTGTGCTGGGAGTGAAAGCCCTCTCTGACGTGTTCGCTCGCTTTGGTGTTGCAGGCGAGGGCTCTGAGGCCTCTTCCGTGTCGGCCGGCTTGGCGAGGGCGAGCTCCCCGGGCGGCGAGGCGCGCGACTCGGCGGACTCCTACACCGACAGCGAGATGAGCTGCCGGCGGTGCCACGCCGCCTTCCTGGGCCGCGAGGACTTCCTCGCGCACGCCTGCGTCCGCGGCGCCGCCGTGGACGACGACGAGGAGGACGACGCCGAGGACGAGGCGGCGCCCGCCGCGACGACGACCCGGGACGACGAGGACGCCGCGGGCGCGATGAGCGAGGACGACGAGGAGGACGACGACGACAAGGAGGAGCACAAACGGCAGCGCCAGCGGCAGGACGCGCAGAACAACAACAGCGTCGACGGCGAGGACAGCGACGCCATGCCGTCCACCACGCTGGGCCACGTGACCCTGGAGGCGCTGCAGAACACCAAGGTGGCCGTGGCGCAGTTCGCCGGGCTGCCCACCCCCGTGGACAAGGCCGCAGCGCTGCAGGACCTGGCCGTGCTGCAGGGCACACTGTTCACGCTGCAGCAGCAGCAAGTGCTGCAGCTCAACCTGATCCAGCAGCTGCTGGCGGCCGGCAAGCCCGGCACGCCGCCCATCGACGCGGCCGGCCCCGGAGCGGGACTCCTGGCCCTGGCCGCGCAGGTGCCGGGCGCCGCTGCGCTGCTGCAGCAGGTCCAGCAGGCGCAGCAGCAGATCGAGGCGCTGCAGAAGCAGGCCGAGCTCAAGGAGGAGGCCATACGGCGGTCGCCGTCGCCCGCCAGCAGCGAGTCCGCGGCGCCGGCCGCCGCGGCCAACACCGCCGCGCCGCCCGCGCTCAGCCCCCTGGCCCGCGAGCGCGAGAGGGAGCTGGAGAGGGAGCGAGAGCGCGAACGCGAGCTGCAGCGCGAGCGAGAGCGAGACATGCCCATCCAGCACCCTGAACAGCAGCCCTCGGGGCTGCCGCCGTGCTCCGTGTCGGCGTCCTTCGCGTCCTCCATCATCACCAACCTGGACCCGCCCATGCCCGACGAGCCCAACACCCTGGAGATGCTGCAGCGGCGCGCGCAGGAGGTGCTGGACAACGCGAGCCAGGGCCTGCTCGCCAACAACCTCGCCGACGAGCTGGCCTTCCGGAAGAAGGGCTCGCTGTCGCCCTACGACGGCAAGCGCACCGACCCGTTCTACAAGCACCGCTGCCGCTACTGCGGCAAGGTGTTCGGCTCGGACTCGGCCCTGCAGATCCACATCCGGTCGCACACCGGCGAGCGGCCCTACAAGTGCAACGTCTGCGGCAGCCGCTTCACCACCAAGGGCAACCTCAAGGTGCACTTCCAGCGGCATAGCGCCAAGTTCCCGCACGTCAAGATGAACCCCAACCCCGTGCCGGAGCACCTCGACAAGTACCACCCCCCGCTGCTGGCGCAGCTGGGCCAGCTGGAGAACCTGCCTCCCGGCGTGCACCCCGGCCACCCTGGGCCGCCGCACGGGCCGCCGCCGGGCCACCCCGCCCACAACCCCTTCATGGCCGCCGCGGCCGCCGGCCACTTCCCCGGCGGCGGCCCCGGCATCCCCGGCGGCGCGCCCGGAGGCATCCCCGGGCTGCCGCTGTACCGGCCCGGCCACGGGCCCAGCCCCGGCCACGGGCTGCTGCCTCCACACACGCCCCTCAAGCCCATGCTGCCCCTGTCGCTGTTCGGGCCGCGCGGGCTGGACCACCCGCACCAGTCCGGCCACCAGGACGCCCCCGCCGACCTCAGCAAGCCGTCCACCTCCCCGTTCCACTCGCCGCGGTCGCCGGTCAGCCCTTCGCGGTCGCCGCGGCGGTCACCAAGGCCACAGTCCCGGTCACGGTCCAGGTCGCCGCCGATGAACCTGCAGCGACGGTCCCCGCTCTCCCGGTCGAGATCGCGGTCGCGGTCAAGATCACGTGACCGCTCGGGCAGCCCGCCGCGACGCGCCGCCGTCAAGCTGGAGGACGCCAAGGACGGCGACAGCGACCGCGAGGACGCCGCCACCCGGGAGGACCTGAACGCCGACGACGAGGAGTCGCGGCGGAGGGACGACGAGCGCGACCGCCTGCAGGCCAGCCTGCTGGGCAGCGAGATGGACGAGATGGACGTGGACACGCCGTACGACGACTGCAGCCTGGACAGCCACTCCAAGTACTCCGACGAGGACATGCACGACGAGCAGCCCGAGAACCTCTCCGCCAAGCCCGCCCCCGGCAGCGTGCGCGTCCGCAACGTGTTCCCGCACGCCCTGTCGCCGCCCAGCAGCACGTCGTCGGGCAGCCACACGCCGCGCACGCCGCTCGGCACGCCCGTCGGCACGCCCGTCGGCACGCCCACCATCCCCGGCCTGCCCATCGACATCGACCCCACCAAGGACCCCGTGCTGTACAACAGCCTGCTGCCGCGGCCCGGCTCCAACGACAACTCCTGGGAGAGCCTCATCGAGGTGACCAAGACGTCGGAGACGTCCAAGCTGCAGCAGCTGGTGGACAACATCGAGCACAAGCTGACGGACCCCAACCAGTGCGTGGTGTGCCACCGCGTGCTGTCGTGCAAGAGCGCGCTGCAGATGCACTACCGCACGCACACGGGCGAGCGGCCCTTCCGCTGCCGCATCTGCGGACGCGCCTTCACCACCAAGGGCAACCTCAAGACGCACATGGGCGTGCACCGCATCAAGCCGCCCATGCGCGTGCTGCACCAGTGCCCCGTCTGCCACAAGAAGTTCACCAACGCGCTGGTGCTGCAGCAGCACATCCGGCTGCACACGGGCGAACCCACCGACCTGACGCTGGACCAGATCCGCGCCGCGGAGATCCGGGACTTCCCCCCGCTGCCCGGGTACCCGCTGCCCTTCCTGCCCGCCGGCTTCCCCGCCATGCCGGGGCTGCCGCCGCACCACCCGCTGCACGGCCTCAAGCGCGAGCAGCGCGAGCAGCGCGAGTCCGAGCACCGCGACGCCCGGGACGCTCGCGACGCCAGGGAGGCCCGCGAGGCCCGCGAGGCCCGCGAAGAAGAGCGGGAGCGAGACCGCGACCGGGAACGTGACCGAGAGCGTGACCGCGAGCGCGAGCGTGAGCGCGAGAGAGAGCGCGACCGGGAACGCTCCCGCGAGCGTGAGAGGGAGCGAGAGCGCGACCGCGACAGCGTGCACGGCGAGGACGCGGCCAGCAACTCCAGCCGGTCCGCCACACCGTCGGGCCTGCCCCACGGGCCGCACGGACACATGCCCAACTTCTCCACGTCGCTGGCCGCGCTGGAGAACCAGGTCCGCACCATCACCACCATGGCGTCGCAGATGCGCACCGGCGAGGAGCTCAACCTGAGCACCAAGCGGCCGTCCGTGCTGGTCAACGGCGACCGCTCCCCCGCGGCGGCCAGCCCCGGCGCCAGCCCCGGCCTGTCCGAGGACCGCGTGTCCAGGGCCAGCCTGTCGCCGCCGCAGCCCCACCACCTGATGCGGCCGCCGTCCTCCCAGCCGCCCAACAGCCCCAGCCCGTCCGAGAGCGGCTCGCTGGGCGCGCTGGACCTGACCCCCAAGTCCAGCGGCAGCCTGGGCAGCCACGGCAGCGCGCCGGGTTCGAGTCCCCCCATCGGCATGGGCGTGCCCTCGCAGCCGCAGTCGCTGGGCCCGCCGCCGGGGCTGTTCTCCGGGTTCGGTCTGCTGCCGCCGCACGTCGGCGCCGTGGCCTCGGGCTCCTCCGTGTCGCCCGGCGCCCTCATGACCTCGGCGTTGTCCTCGCTCACCTCCTCCGTGCTCACCTCCACCGCCTTCAGCCCCATGGGCTTCCCGATGTCCCCGGCGGGTAAGTGTAAGTAACCTTCTCACTTGTCTACTCATTACGACCTCGGGTATTGTTTTGAGAATTCAAGTTGGTTGGTTGGGCGATGGGTGCGCGCGGCACGGCCAGCTCGGCGCGTCGAGCCGCGTCGCGACCCGACCGGGAAACACTCACTTTCGCGTTTTCTCATTCATTTCCCCCCGCCAACTCATAAAGGCTGCTCGCGGCGCCCTTGTTTCTGGCCGATTGCAGACCAGCTATGCTTTGGAACGAGCGGGCCATCCGTTTGCCACTCGGCCGTCGCGGCGCGCGGCGCGTGGCGCGGAGCCCTCGGTCCTTGGCGTGCCGACTCGCTCGTAAACGCGTCCGAAAATCGACGCGCCGCGCCGTCTGACTCATCCCCGTCGCGGCCGCGGAAGATTCTGTAATTTTAGCCGCCATTCGCGACGAATTGCACTAACGCTTGGACTTGGGCTTTGCAGTGCGCGGCAACACGACCTGCAACATCTGCTTCAAGACGTTCGCCTGCAACTCGGCCCTCGAGATCCACTACCGCTCGCACACCAAGGAGCGCCCCTTCAAGTGCACCATCTGCGACCGCGGCTTCTCCACCAAGGTGAGTGCCAGACCGATCATGCCTCGCAGTGGCGCGGACGGCGCGGCCCCGCGCAGGCCCCGCGCGGCCCCGCGTCGTCGGTCCAATATGCAGATTGACCAGCTAGCATCCAGCCAGGGACGCCGCTTTGATTCGGTCGCGCACGTGTGTGTGTGTGTGTGAGAGAGAGAGAGAGAGGAGAGAGAGAGAGAGAGAGAGAGAGAGAGAGAGAGTGTCTTGCGGGCGAGTGTGTGTGTGTTTGAGAGAGTGTGAGTGAATGTGCCATTGCGTTATGAATGCCGGCCCCTCCCTTGCATCACCGTCATACGCGCGACCCAACCCCTTCTTACCCCCGTTCCCCATTGGTAGTTGGAGGCACCCCTCACCTGGCCGCTGCCGCCGCCGCGCTGCTGGTGGTGGAGTGGAGTGGGGCGCGAGGAGAGGGGCGAGGTGATGGCAGGCAGCAGCAGCAGCAGCAGCGGTCTGTGATGTACCGCCGGGCCGCGTCCGCGACACGGATTCCGAGAGTCGTTTTGGTCGCTCTGTCTCTCTCGCCCCGGCGGCGCGTCCCATGCCGGGTGCGAGAGAGACGGCCCCGCGCGCGGCCCGGCGCATTGTGCGTGCGGCGTGCCGTTTATCGTGTCCTCGTCATCGTCCTGGCCGATGGAAATTTAATACGCTGTCGCGATGACGCTGCTTGCCGGAGGTGGGCCGGAGCGGCCTGGAGAGTCCTTTTCGTCGCTCTGTCTCTCTCGCACTCATGGCGCGTCCCGTATAGGTGCGAGAGAGACGGAGCGACGGAAAGGACTCTCAGTGTGCTGGAGGTACGGATAGCCGGCCGGGCTCAAGTGGATGCGGTGGAAAAGGGTCGCGACGTCGCGTCGCCGCGCCGCCGCCATTGATGCTCTATTTTGCTTCCATTCGTTTGTTTTTTATTTTCTGTCCTCTCGGCGATTGGGTTTTTGTCGTCGCATTGTCGTATTTCTATTTGGGATAGGCTAGGGAGGACGGATGGATGGATGGATGAAGAGACGGGCGTTGGATAGTAGCTTTGTATCATCGACGCCGACGACAATTTTTTTTTCTCGTTGTAGTTTTCAATGACATTGTCGTTTCGGCCGCTTCTCTGAGGATGAAGCCGACAGCAGGCACAAGTCGCGGAAAAATAAGGAAAAGGTCGTTGTGAATCGAACCCGCGCCACCGCGAAGTGGCACACAACACAGGTCGCCGCCGCGCTGTCGCGATACACGATTTGAAGGGCGGATTTGGCAACCGTGTCATCGGCGCGCTCGCTCTCTCACTCACACAGCCACACTCCCTCGAGCCTACACCGTCTCGCTCGCCGTCCGGCGCTGGCGTGGATCCAATTATTCTTGAGTTTTTAATCAGCGCGGTCGTCGAATGTCCCCTCCACCCCGCCCCTCCCCGCCGCGCCCCGCGTCGCGCACTTGGGCTGAGTGGCGCTCATCGACGCCGCTGCAGATCGGCGTCACTCGCGCGTTCATCCGTTCGGAAGCAAAAGCCCCGGCCCACAGTGGGCCGGAGTCGGTCAAAACTCTAGACGCGTTTTGAGGTCTAGACTCGCTGAACGGGACCCGAACCGAACGTGTGACCCCACCAATGGATTTCCCTCCGAACGAGGAATCCATGGGTGGGGTGACACGTTCGGTTCGAGTCCTGTTGAGCGACTCTGGAGCTCAAAACGCGTCTAGAGTTTTGGCCGCCTGCGCCGGTCTCCTGGTCCACTGTGCGGCGTGGTGCGTTGGCGGAGGTAAACCTCCACGTTCGGGCTTCGCGCTCGGGGCGGCCAGCTTAGCCGGCTTATAACCGTCAGGCGTGCCAACCTGTGCGCGTAATAATAGTCGGCCAGGTCGGTGGCTGGGCGCGCTGGGGCGTGCTAGGGCGCGCTGGGCGTGCCAGGGAGTCATTGACACGAGGATGATCCCATTTCGGCGCCGCCCCCACCCCGCGCTAATGACTGACATATGCCGCGCGCTGACGGCGTCCTCTTGACGGCGTCCTGGCGGCGTCCTGGCGGCGCGCGGTGCTGCCACCTCGCGGCCAGGTGGCGGTCAGGTGGGCGAGGTCACTGCGACCGGCTGGCCTGGCCCTCTGGAGCGCCGTGCAGCTGTGCCCGCCCGCCGGACGCGGCCGCCGCGCGGGCGTGCCTACCCGGCGAGGCGCTCGGCCGTCGCGGGGTATCGCCGCCGGGCCGCGCTGTCGCGAGGGGTATCGACAAGCGGGCCGTCGCAGCACGCCGCCGTGGACTCGATGATGACGGCGGCGCGGCGGCGCGCGGTTTTGTGCTCTGAAATTAGACCGATGCTTTTGGACGGCGCCCAAAACGATGGCGCCCTGATAAATCCGCGCTTATTGTTGTGCTGCTGCCCCGGCCCGGCCCGCGCGGAGCCCAGCAGCAGAGCCCCGGGGAGGAGGAGGAATATTTATCAAGTGTCACCACTTGGTTTCCCAGGCGGGCCTCGCGGGCCTCGCCTCGAATCGCAGCGTGAAATTGAGTCCGCCTCATTCCGACTCGGCCCTGCCGTGGCAGTGCAGTGGCAGCCCTGGCAGCGCGGCACCGCCTTGCGATGCATTGCCTGCATCGCCTGCAGAGGCAGTTAGTCCGGCTGCTGCATTGCAGTGCCCTTCCCACTCGTCGGCCCGGACTCGGAACCTCGGCAAACCTCGGGTTCGGACCCAGCCGCGCCCTGAGCGCCCCCTGTCGGCTGATGAGCGAACTGTACCCGCGAGGCAGCGCGCCTGAGAACCACGACAAACCTGGACGAACCTCGGGTTCGGACCCAGCCGCGCTCTGAGCGCTCTCTGCCGGCTGATGAGCGAACTGTACCCGCGAGGCCCCGCGTAACGCGTCGAGTCCATGTTGAGCTCAGCCAGGCGTTGTCTTTTATGCATTGCAGCCGGGGGAGTCCGGGGCGTGCTCCTCCTGCAGGAATCAGCGGCGTATCCAGGCGAAGGGGGGCGGCAGTGGCGGGGGCAGGGGCGGGGCCGGCCCCCCCGGCCCCCGCCAGGCTGGCCAGAGCCAGGCGCCCCCGCAGCGCGGCGCGCCTGCCCGGCCAGCCCGCAGTCGCCGGCGGAGACCCCCTGCGGGGCCCGCCCAGGCCCGGGCCCGCCTCGCTAGCCGCGCTGGCCCGCCACTGCTGCTCCCTCCTCCTGGATACGCCCCTGACTTCCTGTGGCGCCACTTTCTGGTAAGGAGACACCCCCAGCCACGCGGCTACGCCGAGGGCTACGCCTGGAGCAGCGCACCAAGTTGTTGACATTTAAATCCCTTCTCATTGCTTGCTCTGCCGTCCGCCTCCGCTACTTGCCAATCTGAAACGTGTTTCCGAACGCAGTCCCTGCAGTGAGAGGCATTCGTTTCGAACGCAGCCACTGCGGTCCTCTAGGGAATTCCCCTCGTCTGCGAGACCGCCACCGCCGCTGCACTCGGCCGGTCAAGCCTGTGGTCGTCTAACGCAGCCTCCCGCCTCTCTGTTCCAGGGCAACATGAAGCAGCACATGCTGACGCACAAGATCCGCGACATGCCGCCGCGCCTGTTCGAGGCCGGCGGCAAGCCGTCGCTGTCGGCGCCCTCGCCGCAGTCCGCCAAGCAGACGCCCGGCTCGCCCGGCCCCAACGGCGGAGCCGGCGCGTCGGGGCGGCCCGGGTCGCCGTCGCCGCTCCTGGAGAAGCAGGACGACGCCCGCAGCCTGAGCCCCAGGGCGTCCCCCAGGGTGTCCGCGCCGCTGCCGCTGGCCCTCAGCATGACCATGCCCGCCGACGTGCTCAAGGAGGCCCAGGCGCAGGCCCAAGCGCAGGCCGGCAAGCGGTCGCCCCCCGAAGGCGGGGCCATCCCCCCCGTGCCCAAGCGACAGCCCAGTAAGTATCAGCCCTGCACCTTGAACCTGTTTCGGTGGTGCTAGGCGTGGCGCCTGACACGCGTGCCGCGGCAGGGGTTCGTCACTTGCCTGCGGAGCTCCAGGCTTTCGGCTGTCTATACCTCGCAAGCTGGCTGAGGCCTCGGATAGCCACTGGCAGAAATTATATTTCCGATTTGAGCTATCCAAGGCCGTACGCCCGCTGCTTATAGTCAGCCGAGTCCTGGAACTCTGCTTCGGAACTCCCGAGCGAAACAGATCCCCGGTCGGGATTCGAACCCCTGACTCGACACAGTGCTGGTAGCTTTTCTCTTGCGTGGGTTCGCTCAACGCATTAACCTTTACGGCGTTGATGGTTGTGGTGGCCAGTACGTACGCAGATCCCTAACATGGTCCGGCTGGCATGTGACCTCATAACCACTGAGCTGCCAGGCATGCTCCGTGCCTGTGAATAACAATCCCCCTCTCATGACTAACCTCTGCGACCGCTCCGTCCACTCCTCTCCAAGTAGAAGCAGTCTTGTTCGCTCTTTGCCTCGCCCCCCTCGAACGGCCCGGCGGCGCGGTCCGCCATCTTTGACTAGGAACTCGCCACTCATTGCGTCAGATCAAGTCGTTCTGTTTTCGGCCGGAACCTCTCCGGACCCTCTGAAGCATGAGCCGCCATCAAACCGACCTTTTTTTGCCGGTGCCCTTCAATGCCCCGGCGACTTTGCCTTTAACAACCCGGAAACGGTTTCACATCCTCCTGGACTTGCAGTCCCTTCCGGCTGCCTCCGGCCAACCAGGCTAGAGAGTCAGTCTAGAGAGTCAGTGTAGAGAGCCAGGCCAGCCAAAGTGGCGGACCCAATCGGGAATCGGGCCGGCCTGGACTAGCCGCGACTGTCCCGCCACACTTCCTAGCGTTTCCTTGGTCCTTGGGCTCGCAGTGTTGCCAAAACAGGGGGAGTTCCAACCGTGTTTTCACCTGTAAAATCCTGGAGGGGAGTTTCTCTAGCGTGGTTGGCAGCACTGTCCTCCCCTAGCCTCCCCGCCTTGCCGTCACCACAATCTCTTTTTTTTTGTTTCCTTGTTTCTCGACGTCCTTTACTAAAGGGGCTGTGCGCTCTGTCTTGCAGGCATGCCCAAGCACTTGTGCCATGTTTGCAATAAGAACTTCTCGTCCTCGTCAGCCCTGCAAATTCACATGCGGACACACACTGGCGACAAGCCGTTCCGCTGTAATGTGTGTCAGAAAGCCTTCACCACTAAGGGCAACCTGAAGGTAACTATTTTCTCTCTCTCCGGATCCAACAACGTGTAGAGCATGGACCTTTTATTTTCGTTTATACATTTTTTTTTTGTGGTTTGATATTTTGCCTCACGTCACACCGTTGTTGTTAGTCGGACACCCCACTCGCCACGTTAGTTCGAGTGCCTCATCTCCTGTCTTTGTCGCACTCACGGCTTGCACCCCACTTGTCTTTCTCTCTCTCTTTCTCAGCACGTCGACTAACCAACGGCTCTGCTTGCACGCATTTCCTCCTCCTTGTATACTACGCCACCCTTTTACATTGCACGCCCAACTGCCCTGCATGAGCTTCGTTAGAGGTCTGCAGACCTGCTTGCATGAGGATGATGATTCTGAAACCTGAAAGTGAAACGTGTAGCGTATCCCTGTGTGTTGTGTGTGAGTTGAGCACTGCGCGCAGCCGTAGCGCCGTGCTTGGCTCCCCTCCGCCACTGGTGCCCGATGGGTTGCCTACCCTGCCGGCGTCCGGGCAGTGCGTGGCCGGGGTGTTGCCGTCGCTGACGCAGGCTAACGGAGGGCTGGTTTGCTGCTTGCAGGTGCACATGGGCACCCACATGTGGAACAACGGGGCCTCCCGCCGCGGCCGGCGCATGTCCCTCGACCTGCCCATGCCCCCCATGGGGCCCATGGCGGGGCCCATGGGGGCTCCCATGGCGGGCCCCATGGCGCCAAAAGATTCGGACTTCCTGCAGCGGCGGCCCGATCTTTTCTACCCGTACCTTCCGGCCCCGTTCCTTAACGGCATGCAGCACAAGGTGAGGACCACTTGCTGATCTCTGTTCGGTTGGCGGCGAACCGCGCCGAAACTAAGGTTGCTGTGGCTGGCTGTGCCTAAAACGAGTTCCATGTCTCGATTGCAGGAAGTAAAGTGATTTCGCCGTGTAACGGAGTGTGTCTCTTGTCTCGCAGTTGAGCGAGATGTCGGGCATGCCCGGTGCCGGCGGCGCGGTGGGGCCCGGCCGCGACGGCCCCCACGGCCCCCACGGCCCCCACCCGCTCAGCAACGGCATGGGAGGCGGCCCCGCCGGCCAGGCCTCCAAGTACGCGGGTCTGCTGGGCTTCAACCCGTTCGGGCCGCGGCCGCCCGGCGCGCCCTCCGGACAGGGACACGGCCAGGGCCACGGCCAGGGCCACGGCCAGGGCCCGCCCCCCGGCTCGCCGTCCCCCGACAAGCACTCGGGGGCGGGCACGCCGTCGCCGCACCACCCCGCCATCCCCGGGCTGCACCTGGGCGCCATGCTCAGGCCGCAGCTGCAGGGACTGCAGGACCGCCTGCAAGACCGCCTGCAAGACCGCCTGCAGGACCGCCTGCAAGACCGCCTGCACGACCGGTTTCAGGACCGGCTGCAGGACCGCCTACCCGAGCGGCTGCAGGAAAGACTCCACGATCGCCTGCAGGAAAGACTTCCCGATCGACTTCCCGACCTGCCGCGGTCCATGTGGGACTTCCAGCTGGACCGCAAGCCCCCCAGGGACCCCCAGGACGACCACGGCCACCACGCCATGGAGAGGCTGGAGAGGACCTCGACACCGCCCAGTCACCTGGGGGCGCCGCCCCCGCCCACGCCCCGCGGCGAGGGGCTGGCCGCGTAGCCCGGCCTCACACATATCCCATTCCAGCCATTCCAAGCCTGGGATGGAAAGGTGCTCGTCGGCGTGGAGACGCCGCGTCTCCTCAGTAGAACGTTTTTACTTGTTTCGTTTTTCGTTTTGTTGGAACTTGTGATCAGGTATTGCCTTACGTTGAGGACAGTTTGCAGGTGGCCTGGCCACAGACTGCAGTGTTCCTATTTTGAAACTAGTCGTGAAGTATTGATGTATTCAATATCTCTGCGGGGGAAGCTTTGCAGTTCATTTTTATTATCATTTTATTATGTCTCAGCTGTCCCCTGTTTGTTCCCATCATCTCTTTAAGTGTTTTTGTTTTTGTCCTATATAGAAATGTAGATTTATTAACAATATTTATTGTCTGATATGTTGTGTATATAAGATTTAATGAAAATGTGTTATTACTCCATATATTTCTTTTAAATAATTTTTATCAAATCGAATGTCTGATTGTTTGTACACGCATGGTTATGTTCCAAGAACCGCAGAATGGTCCTCTTTTTATTACCTTTGTGTCAATGAGTGACCACATTGGCACTGTTTGGTCTCATATTATTATGTCTTAAGTAAATTAAATTATGTTAATTAGTGCTATTATCATCATTATTGATTATCAATATTGTATTGAATGATGTCTAATGTACATGTGTGTCATGTAAGGTATGGATGTACATATGTAAATCAAGCCATATTGCTTTTCATCAGCAATGTGAATGTCAATATACACACATAGCTTAGAGGATCTTGATTCCTGACCAATCATAATATAATGTGCTGTTTTCTTAAATGGGACAGGGGCAATCTTTGGGGATGCAAAACATTAGAGAGCAAATCATCCCCCCTAAAAATATTTTTCACTGTGATACTACACCTTAAGAAGAAAGCATAATCATAGTTTTCATTGTGCCGGCTGTACTTCGGAAGTTGTTATGTTGTTTTAGTTGCACAAGAGCTCTGTTCTGCTATTTATTGTTTCTGAACTTGCATACGAATTCAATCGAATCCAAGATAGAGATGAACTAACATCATTTTGACTTTTACCTCAGACTAAATAATGTTGTTTTTTTTTCTAAAAACATCTCTAGTGAAATATAGTTTAAAAAGGTTTTAAGTGGCTAAGAGGTAATATAGTTCCAGATTTTTGATGAATGATGTTTGTGCATCTCTCTTCAATCTACCCCTTGCAGCAAAAATAATAATTAAGTTTCAAAAAGTTGTTAAAAATCTTAAATCTGTTTGTTTTGTTTTATTTTATTTTGAGATCCATTTAAATAATTATTACTGCTTTTAACTGATAAGAGAGTAGTTGTGATTTGTTTCCTTAAAGGAAAAACCTATTTTCTTGTATACTACTGTTGCTTAAGCGTCAGTATAGTCTATGTACTTATCATCTTTCAAATCACGTGTGGAAAAATAACCATTATCACTTATCAAGATACTATTTAATTGGAGGATTTTGCATTCAAGTTAAAGCAGGTTGCTTTTGAAATGACTACAATAGCATAAGCAAAATCTCCATCATTTGTCTTCACTTACATCTCCAAATTTGTTTTAGTTTGACTGTTTTTCTAGAAACCAAACATTGCTCATTCTGATGTCAGTTTTGGTTCTTTGGGTTTTGGCAGAAGTACCTCTATGTTTAATGTTGATTGTATGTTCCAATAACTAACATACCTGTAAGTTAACTCTCCACATACAATTCACAAAAATATGTACAATGCTGCAATACCAAATTAATATACTGTATATTCCAAGCTATTTATCAATATATGTTTGGTAGGAAATTCCAGCCAGAAACTATTTTTTAAATCAAATAAGACTGTACGAGTGCTAGCTCAGAAAGCACTAAGGCTTGCTTAAATCAAATTATATCAGTTTTGAAGAGCAATGAATTTCTTATGATGAAGTGATCTTTTTGTAGCAATCCTACCTATGCATGTGCTTCTGCCAATGACATGTCCATGAGAAATTTAGTTAAAAATACTTTGTTTGAACTGTATCTGCACTGAAACGGGTCATCCGCTTCTGTGGCAGGAAAAACACTGAGTTGAAGTTTGAACAATATCATTATAAAATACTACTGAAGAGGTCAGCTCGATTTCTCAACAGTTGAAATTCCCTCAGTTCTTTCTAGACCCATTAGGTTGATAATTTGTGTGATGATATTTTACCAACTATCTTTTTCCATTTTTATTTTCCCCCTTTTGCTTGTTAAGATACAATTTTGTAAGATACATATGATTCACTGTAGATGTGCACAAAATAGAAATCGAAACTACCTTGTTAAACACCTGAAATACAGAAAAGAATATTGAAAGCAGTATGTTCTATTTATTTGCAATCCCAGGATGTGTCTTTCCAGAAAGATTTACTCCCAGTGCTAACAATGGCATTACAAAATTGCGAAGGAAATATTAGCGTAAAACTAGCTTGAAAGGTTAGGTGAGGCCATGAGTGTCGAGCCTGTTAAAGGCAGTGTCCAGCTGGTGTCTCGGTGGCTCAGACCTGGGTTCGATTCTCAGGCGTGACAGTTTTCTGATGTCTTGTATTTTGCACATTTTCCCTGTGACGTGCCAAAGGGGTGGTCTACCGTCCCGGCGCTGAGCAAGAATAGGGATAAAAGATTTAGAAGGAAAAAGTAGCCATCGCCGGGATTCGATTCCAGAGACATTGAATTCCAACCGGCGCCTTTACCCTGACAGCCATCTTGTGTGTGCTGTGAGAGGACGATGAATCTTAAGTGATGGTACTTGTGATGTCACAGCCCGAATGGGTTCTGGGCGCGCTTCCGCCAGCAGCTGGGTTGCTACCGTTCTCTCGCGGTGGCAGCTCCGCTCGCCGTTTTGACTAGTCGGTCAAGATTTCCACACTCGGTTCACTGGATGCGTGTCGTCCGATCTCTTTCTCGGATTGCACTGCTTTTCCCGCTAGGGCGTTCAGCTGATGACGTCCTCAGAGCGAGGAGCGCCTGCTGGGGCTTCCCTCTGCTGACAGCCGCCCGCCACAAGGGGGCACTGTGCATGATTTTAGGGCTGCCGCTCGCGGTGGCAATGTCTGGCACTGATTTAACTGCATCAAAAATGTTCTTCCCCTCCCACTTTCCCATTCTTTTCATTCGGTTTCATGATTCAGCCGCTATACACTAGCCTAACCTAACCTTTCACCGCGACGGGCCGGCGGTCCGAAAATCGATGGAAACCAGCAAGAAAGGCAGTTTTGTGAGAAATGGAGGCCTCTGATTGGTCCAGACCTGTCACGTGACCAAATTTTCGATCGCCAGCCAGATCCCTTGAAAATCCGCGTGGGGAGGCACGATGGGGAACTTTCAGCTGCCCCTACTCCGCTCTGAGATCTGAGGAGAGGATATTTGGTCCGTATCAAAACATGGATCACGTGGGAACGGGATGGTCGTTGACTAGTCAAATCATCGAGCGGCGCTGCCACCGCGAGCGAACGCAGCGTTCCCTGGCGACGAACTTGAGAGCTTTGTTCGAGGAAAGGGATCGCTGGGTCGTCGGAAACAGAGTTCAACTCAAACCACCTGATGGCGCTCAGTTGCCAAAACTGTCAGAGGGAAAATGACTCAGGATATTTAATCCCGTCCGACGCTTTCCCCCTATCTTATCCATGATACTGAGTGGCGCGATCAATCGTAGAGTGATGGTACTTGTGATGTCACTGCCCGAATAGGTTTTGGCGCGCTTCCGCCAGTAGCTTGGTTGGTGCCGTTCCCTCGCGGTGGTAGCTACGCTCGCCGATTTGACTAGTGCCTCAGCATCTTCACAATCAAGTTACTGATTGCTCGCGATCGGTCCGTTCACAGCTGAACAGTGTTCCCGCCAGGGACTTCAGCTGTAGACTCCAGCAGTGCGGCATGTGTCTGAGTCGATGCCAGCGTCTGCATTCAGACTGCCGCCGCAAGGTGGCGCTGAATCATCTGCGCTGCCGATTGCTCGCGTAGGCAGCGCCGCTCTCTGATTTTACTACTTGGTCTCTACCACTAATCAATCTTCTTCCTCAATAATTCTGAAAAATCAACACAGAAAAAATTCCCACGGCCACCGCTGCCTCGAGCCTGCCGGCTGCCCAGCAGCCCGAAAATCGGTGAAAACAGCGCAAAAAGGCACTTTTCGGAGAAATGGAGGCTTCTGATTGGTCCAGACCGGTCACGTGACCGATCACGTGATCAAAATTTCCGATCGCCAGACGGATCCCTTGGAAATCCGCCTGGGGAGGCTCGATTGGGAATTCTCGACCGCCCCTTCACCGTAGGCAGCTCAGCTGGGAGGAAATTTGGTCCAGATCGAAACAACGACCATGAACAAAAGGGATTGTCGTTGACTAGTCAAATCAGCGAGCGGAGCAGCCTCCGCGAGCGAACGGGAGCACAATGGGCGCAGCGCCCCCTGGCGACGAACTTGAGCACCAGCCGAGGAAAGGCAAAGGGATCGCTGACTACATCATAATTCGATGCCAAACACCAGATGGCGCTCAGGTACTCTGGTGACAAAAATTTCAGAACTGTGCCTCAACCTCAATCGGCATCGGTGAGCCGTCACGGCCGTCACGCCTTGCAGTCGAGCCCGGGTGCTACAGTGGAGCGGTCGCTCCCTCTGGGGAAGGAAGCTAAGTCGTAAAGACTGTCTCCATGGCTAAATTAAAATACACTTTTGTTTTAAATTTTATTGTAAAAGTTTACCTATTTAAATATCCTTTCAAAATGTACACTTTATAAAACTCAGAAAACATAACAAAGTTTTTGGTGCTTGGATCTGCCAAATACGAAACGTTGAGAGCCTATAATATTTTGAAGGACAGTATGATGAAGCTGACAAATTTGGTTTACAATGCATAGACTTCCAATAAATATTAAAACATTTGGTCTGATTAATTATATATGTTTGTATGTATATATTTAAAAAAAAAAAAGAAGAGACGTCAACTTCCCACTATCTTGCATAAGTAGAATTAGAGAATAAACGAGATGCTTTAACAGCCATTACAAATATTTGATTAGTTTCAGTCCTCATTAGCTACATTTTAGCAGCTGCGTTTGAATTGCCACCGCTAAGTTTTCTATTTAAAAGGTTTTGTTACAAAGTTGGATTCAATTCAAAATAAATAAGCTTAGTACTTGTTTTGTGAATAAGGACTTGACATTGCACTTCCCTGAGATTTATCCTTTAGACATGTTAGTAAGAAATAGATCCCAAAAAATGCACCTGCAGACAAAAAATAGTTTGATAGATAGAAAATTGTTAAATGCATATCATAAACTATCCACTTTCTTTAATAAAATAAACCACAGACACTCCACTTTCTGTATTTGAGCGAAAAGGCATTGGTGGCTAAGCCTAAGGTAAGTATGTTCTGAGGTTGCACATAAAATGGGTAGGAGTTTCCTAGAATAAAGTTATTTACAGCACATGAATAAGAGTAAACTTTGCCTGAACTAACTAGAAGATTCTTGGTGTCGTTCGTTCCAAACAGCTATAACAGTCTCAAAATTTTACACAAAATGCAATTCTGAAACCGACCAGGAAAGCGTATGACTTTCACCTTGTGGTCACATCTAGATAAATTAATGTACCACATGAAAAACAGCTTGGTACAGAAATGTCAAGCATAGCATTAGAGGACACAGAAACTAAAATTGATAAATCAAGTACATTAGCGATTTGGAGTAAGAAAAATTTGATAAGCCTCATTTCATCACAAAATATGATACAGGCACTAGCAAGTTAATGCAACAGACATTTACATAAGGCACCTCGAGAATTCAAACAAGAAAGGCAATATGGAGATGTCAGTGCATTACTGCCTGGTAACACTAAAAGTGTTAATAGGTAAAAATTAAGTAAAGCCTAGCTTGTACATAAATATCAACTGCTATGGAAAATGCTCACACGTACACAAGAAACATATAAATACTCACAAAATCTCTATTTTAGAAGAATTTGTCAAAATAATTACAGCTTGACACTTAAAACAAATTTAAAACAGAAGACCTGAAATGGTTGCTTCATTCAACTGAGCTCTACTAGGATAAAAGAATTATTATCATGATTTGTGTTTATGTACAACAAGAGCTTGAACAGAAGCTAAACCAACAGTATCACAGAATATGCATATTTTAAGTGCAGCCAGAAGGAGCCATTGTTTCTTACAAACATAGTGGCTTTACAAACACACAAATTGTGATTCAATATCCCCTCCATCAAATATGTTGACATACTGATGCTAGAACAGGACAAAATAGCACTTTGCACATATTTTCCACAAAAATAATTTACCCCTACACTGTTTTCCCCTTTTGACAATATCTAAACCATACTGTATGAGCATCCAAAGCTGGCTGTGAGTTTTAAATACGATGCTAATCTCTCCAGGGTTTACAGCCAAAGTTCCTGGTGCTAGCTTAGACAAATGATCCAGTGCTAAGTAAAGGACATTGCCAGCCAGGTTCAAACAAAAAAAATTAGCATTTAAGAATAGTAGTACCATGGCGAAGGCAGGTACGGAAACCCAGCCTCCTGAAAATGTGATCTCAACATTCTGATGAATTAGGTTCTTGCTCTAAACTTGGCTGCTTCTTGTTGCGAGTAAGTCTGTCCAGCTCAGCAGCTGCATCTGAACGTACAACTGCCTTATCCACAGGTGGAATATTATTAGATTGTTCTGAAAGAAAAAAACAGGTGTGAGAAATGCCTTTAAGCCTTTAAACTTACAAAAAAAGCAAAGAGGAAAAACAAAATAAATGAAAGATTTACCTCCTGGCCGTGCTGGAGACGTAGGGTTGTTGTTTCCAGTCTTCTTGTACAGCAGAGAATTGAAGAAGTTCGCGAGCACACCCTCACCGCCAGCAGCACCCGGTTTAGTGCCATCAAGCTAAACAAAGAAATCAAAGTTAGGATCAGTTAAGGAAAATGGTATGAAGGGATGGCTATAGAGATGGAAATTCAAAGCCCAAGAAATTAGCAGATAAATGAATTCAGACAATAGGTTGACAAAAAGCAAGAGAACTTTAGAGATCTACCAAGGATTCCATCCAAACCACAGTGAAATCTAAGTTGAGAGTAACACATGCACCAGAGCACCACAATGTTCAATGTTTTTAAAGATATGTACAGTTTAATGCACAATTTACTAATTTAGATGCAATTTTGGAGGCTGTCTAGGCACAAGATTAATTCAAAACAAATTCTTGTAAAAAAAAATTTAAAAAACAAAAACAAAACATATGCATGAAACCAATTTTGATTTTACTGGAGTATATCAATATTCAATAATACTGTTGAAGTGAGAAACTACCGTATTTACATTTGATAAAGTAGGTTTTGGTGAAAATACCATAATTTGATGAGGTGTTGTTGAAACCATTGACCTAACACCAGATACTTGTGAAGTGAATACCATTACCAGAGAGAAGAAGTGATCCGTAAGAGTGCAGTGGTGCAATTATATCTGGCACATGTGTTACCTTCTTTGGCGATCCTAGCTGAGTTTGAACACCAGGTGCCCCTACCGATCGACGATCCACTGCCTTAGTCACTGAGGGAGGTGCTCTCATAGGTGATTCCTGACGAACCCCAGCTGGAACTCCCGCTTGAAGAGATTGCTGTTGTCGAGCCAGAAAAGCCTGCTCATCTTCTGCTTGTGTTTCAACCTCCCGCGTAACCGGCTGAAAATAATAAAGGGTAAATTAATTGAAAATAGGATACAAATGGGAAACAATGACAGTGATTTTTGAAATGTGAAACAAAGGGGAAAAAGAGTCTATTACCTTCCGAGCTCCAGGTTGAGTTATTACATCTCTATAATAATCATCCGGCTTCATTGACTGCATATTTTCATAAAGAATGCTGATCTTTTTCTTGTTGTCCCACCCAGATGGGCTAAGAATAAAGAAAGAAAACAATTTTTTAAATGCAAAGATACATACAAAGCAATATTATTTGTAGGTTCATTAGCTCAAATGATAAGTATAGTATCTACACTTACATCAACACAGCATCTTTCTCCACAACAAGGGCAGGAGTTCGAAAAGGAAATTCATAAATTCGATGCGTTAAATACTTATAAAGAAGGTCACAATTTTTATCTTCTTTAACAGAAGTGTAGAAAAGCCCTGCTCCATATTGTAAACAAAATCTCCGAATCCACAGTTGAATGAAATCTAAGTGCTCATCTCGGTAATCTAAGTCCTTCTCTAATGTTGACATGTAGTCAGTCTGAAATTGTTAACAGATTGTTTAAAATTTAGATTACGTGGCAAAAGGAACATATAATACATAAATTAATGGTAAAATACCTTTGTTACAACAACGACTACATCCAAGCCCAGATTCCGTGTGAGAATTCCTTCACCAAGAGGCATTTCACCTAGCTCTTCGTCCATATTTCGAGACGTACGACGAAGCGCAGCACTTGAGTCCATTTCATCTCCAGGTTCAACATAGTCCAACCACTTTTTGGTTACTAAAAATAACAATTTTTACAAAAACATTATTAGTATGATTAAAAATTGAGAAGGTACAAGAATTTTGGATCTTTTTAAGACAAGATGAGGCAATAAAACATTCTGAATTAAGAGTATAACTATTTAGACAGGAAAAGGAACCTACTTGACTGTTTGAAATCATGTAATTCCTCTGAACTAAATTTAAGCTTGTCGATGTGGTCTTGCAATATAGTTGCCCAAGATTGTAGTTGATCCAGAACTCCCCATGGAGTAGTCATGGCAACTACAAGCATGACAAGAGTGTGTGGAAAACTTTCTTCCGAAAGTGCATACCGGAGAAGGTGTCCATGAGCTGGATCTCCATCAAGGACCCAGACACCCAACCGTGTATGGTCTGAAAATGGTAGAATCAAATGTTATTAAGACGAAATAGTTAGAAATAACGCAAACATATCAGACAATGTATCAAAACGTTCAGTATACTAGCATAATGCAAATTACACTTACCATCCCTGTATTCATCTCTAACATCTATGTAAGCATACTCCAGGCCAGAACCCTTTTTAGGATCTTCTACACCTTGAAGTTTGGCAATTAGAGTTGTTTTACCCGACTCACTGTCTCCTTCAGAGAGTACAAAATAGAGCAAAATTGTGTTAAGATCAAAGAAAATAAATGAAGACCTAGAAAACATGTTTTCATGAATTAACTTCAGCTTACCTAGGACGAGAACTGACTTGTTGGATGGCAACTTTGAATTCCCAGTATTTTGAACTTCACTAAGGATGGCAGACCTAGCACAAAAGACAAAGACATTGAAATAACCATATGGAGCATGACCTTCAACTAAACGAGCACCAAAGCAAAACCTCAGGGAATTGAAATGAGGTAACAAGATCGAAGCATGAGTTAACAGTGCAAATGACGAATTAAAGTCATTAACACAGGAGCTGGTGTCTACCTTTAAGTGTCACACTAATGTTTATAGGTCGACACAAAAGAGATTCGTTACAAAGCAAGGCAAAGTGTGCAGCTTCACATGCTATTCTCGATAATAAATAAATTTAAACAATCTACGAGGGTTTTTAAAGGCCAGAAACAAAAGGTATACAAAACTTAAATGTCCACATAGGTAACATAACCCCAAGCGCAGAGACAGGGGCGTATGAGTCATTCGTGCACCGCGCGTTGCTAGCGAAGGCACCGACGAGCCAATCGTTGGTACCGAGATAAGAAATCGACAATTCAGAGCATTTACCCACCATAAATTTTCTTTAGACTCCAAGTCATCTTTCTTTTTGCCAGATATTCCATTCATTTCCATGGGATCACCTGCGAGGTGCGCCATGTTTGACAGCTTAGAACGCCACCATCCACACCCATAGCCAAGCTCCCTACTCGTGGTGGCGTGGTGGGGGTTAGCATAGCGCGCCTGATGCCGAGCGCGCCTAGAGGCAGTGCATTTACGGAAGGTTGGGTTGGTAGTCATCGCATCGTTGCGGTGGATGAGCTATGCGGATCCCCTCCACCATCCAAAATAGGTGGAGGGGGAGGTTGGGTACTACGGGTGATGGTTGGCACACGTGTATCGTGCTGAGTTCTCTACACTGTAACTGCAATTACGAAATTTGCTTGTCTGCATGAAGCTGAGCAAACGATCCAATGAACAGGGATGCTGAAATAGGAACATTTCGTGAGTCTTAGTGGCAGCAGAGAAGTATCGGCTCTGGCGAAGGGGCTGGCAACACTGCCTTGTCAGCTGGCAGAGCGCGCGCAGTACGAACCGCAGCGCGCGCCGCGCATCGGAATCGAAAGGCTTTCCTCACGTTATCTCTGATCTTCAGTCATGAATTAAAATTACTAAGTGCAGAGAATTGTGCGTGTGTGTGTGTGTGTGTGTGTCTAAGATCTACCACAATGAGTAGATGAGAGAGAGAGACTTCTGGGGGGGGGCAATGGCCTCGGAGCCTAGAGGCTCAAGTCAGCCAATGAGTAGATGAACGAAGGTAGGCAGTAAGCTTAAGTAAACAATATGGTTTGGGGCTTTAATTTTCTTTATTTAATTAAAGTGACTAGTCCAAGCTCCTAAATCATGGATGGAGTAAATCGAATTTCATGGTCATAAAGATACTATACACATATGTACAGCCTATCTTCCTTGTTTTGTTGCCAAAAGGCGCACATGCAAAGTATGAACAACTGTTACATGAACTTGCCTTTGTGGAAACACAGAAACAGTCATAGCTTAAATTATTATTAACTGAAATTTAATACAAGTACTAAATTTGTTCTATACCTATATACAAATATGTACTCTGATGGGTTACTGTACATATGCTCTATTTCACATACCAGTCATTATTTTATTTATTAACTTTGAGTGGCACAAAATAGTTGAATCCCTCCTCAGTTTCTATAAGTGTAGTAACTGTACCCTCTGGCACATTTTCCACATTGTGTATGTTTTTTTTTAGACACAGTAGACTAAAAATTAAAGTAAATAGATTATCCAACCTTTATAGCTTTTTTGATTTCGAACTATAGACCGACTGCAACATAAGAAGTGAGTAACTTAAAGTGCAACTGCCTTTTTGATATGTACAAAAGATACATTTTCCTTAGGCACTTTCAGAATACAAATCAGTCTCTTACAAGAAGCACAAATATTGTTCAGTAACATTCTTTGCTCAGCTTGGTTTATATTACCTATTTCACACCATATACTTCAAAATTAGTGCTCAGATTTTGCTTTGCAGTTGCCTCTTCTCCTGAGATCAACTAAACAAAAACACTTCACATTGCTCTTTCCCAAAATAATTTACATTTAGAAAGACAAAACAATAGATTAAAGAATGACATGGAGGTGACTGTAGAGCAAGAAAACAGGCTGCCCCAATCCATACTACTTTAGACATCTCTCATAAGCAGTAATTATCACAAATTCCAATTTTGTTAACTGCACCCTGTTGAGTACCCATGAATGACACCTCCTCTGTATCAAAACTTCTCAATTTAACAATCTCTAAATAACAAATACACCAGATTCTCTGTTTTCAGTCAGTGACTGAGCCAACAGAATTACCCTCCCAGAAATAAAGGACACAAAGACGTAAAAAATACATTGAAATTATTTAACTATAGGGTACAGTCACTAAATAGAAAGCTGAGGTTTATTAAAGACAAATCCGTCCAAAAAAATAGTATTAATACTGATTCTGTTCAGATTTGGTGAGAAAACCTTACACGCCTCATTGTTAGAAGAAGGATCAAAACCATACAATTAGGTCCATTATCTTTTGTGAAGGGGCAACCACAACAGAAAGGCCAGGGCTTGAAGGAACATACCCTTGTTGTGTCTCATAGCATTGACAAAGAACTTCAATTTCATGCTAGAGGTGCATTCTACCCTCACTCTCTTTTAAAAAGGATTTCATAAATTATTTTAACAACAATAACAAATAGATCAAGTCATTATGGTTTGATTGATTAATTAATTGTTCAAAGTAGCAAACTAGGCTGTTGAGAAGCTCACTAAAAATGACACTCACATAATTACTAAAACAAGGCTAATTTGGTTTAGTTAAAAATCTAATAGACATCCCTTCTTCCAGAAAAAGTATGCTAAACTTTGATGGGCCATGAGCTACTAAGGAAAATGACAACAAGAGTTTCACATTCTGATGCCTTGTCTTCTTCAAAACAATGAACAATATCATTCTAAAATCTACAGATGACAGTATGCAGTTGTTTGCTAGTCTGAACTTAAGAGAGGAATGATGATAATGCAAATGGAGGAGGTCATGTATCCTCATATTCACAATTCAGCTGAAAAGGGACGGGTAGTATACCCTTGGGAGAGAATTAGATCTGCATTTTTTATAACACGGTAGTAGAAACTTACAGACTGGTGGTAGTTTTCTACAGAGATGCGCTCATTATGACCATGGTAACGTGACACATCACTGAGCCTTACCATGGTTGGCAAAAATCGATAGAGATTTGATGTGAAATTAAGGTACCATCTGGTATCAGTATTAGCGATAAAAACAGCTGAAAAAGATAAAGAAAAGCATGAGATAGAGGCGTAAATCATATCTGACAGTAACTATTAGTGTTACAAAGCCTTAATTTAATTACCTGGAACAACAATGGAATTGCGAAAGACTTCTCTGATTGAAGTTGATATCATCTGATATGGCACACTGTGGGCATCATGGGGTGATATTGGATGGGCCTCTCTTGATCGCTTTACTTTCATCTGCACCCTTGGGTCATCAATTACTTGTTTAGTGTAAGCCAACACTTCCTTGACAGTCTGGGCTGGGTGAATCCGGAAGTTGACTAGAGCTGATGCTGATGGTGGTACAACATTTTCCTGCAAAATGGTGTGTGTGATATTACAAGTGAACATTTTGGATAAAATAAGGGTAGACACAAGACAAACCTTAATTCCACCCTGAAACATTGTTATTGCAGTTGTTGTCCTCATGAAAGCATTTGTTATAGGCTGGCTGGCCATTTTATACTCCATCATTGGGGAAAAGAACCACAAATTACTGTAGACAGTTTTGTAGGCAGAGGAGACCTGACAAGGGAAAGTCAATCATTTAGCAGCTGAAGTGGGTCTTTTGCATGACTGATTTTCATAAGTACTTACATGAGGTGCAAGGTATTCAAACATCTGTTTCTCTGGACCATGTCCAAACATAGAGGGTAGTGGGCTTTTTTCCAAACGAGAGACAGCAGCTGAAAGAATCCCTATGGGAGACTCGGCAGGAGGGAAGCTCGAATGCCCTGGTGCTCCACTCACACTTAATTCAATAGTGGCAATACCTTTTTCAGAGACACCGAGCCTGAGAAGAAACAGTGCCAGTGAATTTAAAGCACAGATGAAAAGAAGTACTACAGCTTACAGTCATTGGTTCAGTACTCACATAGCAATTGGTCTGTTGGTCCCTGGTATTAGCTCATCACTTACAGGAAATCCCTCATCCAGTACAAAGTCTAGATATTTCACCCCACGGCTGACTAGCAGCTTTGCTATTTCTTGTGCGCCTCGCTTGCCTGACACCTGTTAATTCATAATAAATGTGTAGTCATGGTTCCCAGTGCCCAAAACTAAGAAGAATGCCTTCAGAATCTTACCTCTTCATCATGGCCAAATGCAATGAAAAATGTTCGATGAGGTCTATCACCTTTTTCAAGAATATATTCCAAAGCTTCCATTATACCCTAAAAGGAATGTAGAAAATACACAAGATATGTATATAAGTTATGAGATACAGGGAAGAGTTAAACAATACTGCTGTTAATAAGTGTGCAATAAGCCGCATCATTTCAGCTTACTTACAAGCACCCCACACTTATCATCAATTGCCCCACGTCCGTAGATGTAGCTGTTGTTTACAATAATTCCTCCAAAAGGCGGAACACTCCAATCTTTTTCATTCACTGGTACGACATCCAAGTGAGATGCTAGAAGATAGGGTAAGATGCCAGACTTTGTCCCATGTACAGTGTATAATAAACTTAAGTCATTTATTATCTCCCGTTTTACAGCTGGATGAGAATGAAGAATGGGAAAACCTAAAAAAGAGTCAAGTTAGGGTAATTAACAAACAATAAAAAGTGTAGAGATAAAAAAATTGAGAAAGAAAAACTATGTACTTACTTTTCTGAAGATATTCGTGTATTTTTGTAAATGCTTGTGTCTCTTGGTGATCAGTTTTGTATGACACAGTGGGAATTTTTAAAGCACCTGCAAGACGTTCAGCTCGTTCTAGACTACGAGCTTCATCCACAAGATCCCTTCTTTCTTCTACTCGAGCTCCGAGCTTTACATCTAGACGATGTTGGATTAATATTGTTCGGGCAAATAAAATAGAGACGATGACAAAAGTAAGAACTGCTATGGCACAGCATGATAAAACAAACAATCCTCGAAAGTGGCGAATATAGTAGCGTAGGCTTCGTCGTGTCCAAAGAAACATGATTGGTATAATTTGACCTGTCAAAAAAAAAAAAAAAAAAAAAATGAAAAATTAGAAAGATAAAACATATAATGAAATTGAAACCCCCTCCGCAAATTCACACATGTTCATGAATAAAGGAGACTGCAGGAATCTCATTTGATACGATATGACAAGTGCTACATCAAAGCAGAAAAGCAAGGACTTCACGCTAGGGTGGGAAACCCCAACAACCCCAACACAATCTTATCATAGGGTTCTTAACCTCAACATGCGGCCACAATCGTTGTTGATTGTATCAACTTTAACTGCCGTTCCTCGCGCCTCTGTCACAACTGTCCATGCTGAAAACGAGAACATTTCAACAAAACAAGTCTCCCGAAGGCTACAAAACGCAGCATCAAGTGTCTCCGAGACAGAACAACAAACAAGCAGACGACACCAGTACATGCCACCACTTGAATGTGTCATTTCCACACAGAAAGACAAAAAATGTGACAAAACGAGCGATATTGTGTTTTACGTCACGGTACCTGGTTTTCACGGTTTAACTGGGGATTCCGTGTGCCTCGCACCGAATATTGACATTTCGTTTCAGATATTTCCAACCATGGCGGACTCCAGGACCCTAGAGGACTCCAGGAGGGCTGGCTGGAGCTGGAGAAGGAAGGGTTCGGCTAGATGGATAGATGGATGAGTGGGTGGCGGCCGGTAGTCGGCAAGAGGCGGGGAAGGTGCAAGGCGGGGCTGGGGCTGTGCATGGAGGGTTCGTCAACTTGGAACGCAGGGACGTCAAGCGTCTGGGCAGTGTGGGGCATGGTGGGGCGGGCTGGACAGGTTCGAGGTTTGCATGTTTTGCAACATTTACCAATGTGTCTTCGTAATGCGTTCCATTAGACTTGGGATTTTAGGAGCCTTCCTGTCTTCGGAGTACCTACCCTCTGGCACTGCGCTAGCGAAGACACCCTAGTCGGCACTACCGGCGTGGCGCGCCGCCCGCGCATCAGAGGGTAGGCAGTCCGCGGGACAGGCCTGTCACTGTGTTGCCTACTCCGTCCCGATCTGTTTCCTTTCCGCTGGGAGGCTCAATGCATTACTCACGGCAGTTTGGTCGGAACAGACGATTTATTCTTACTCATTTCCACAGAAATTGGTACTGATAACATTCTTCAAAAAAGTTGGTTGGTGAAAACCAAACTGTGCAAAAAAAAAAAAAAGTTAAATTTACCACTCAACTCTTTGGAATACTAGTATGCTACCTTACAGTTTCACCTACTAGTGCCACATCCAACAACTCAATCGATGAACATCACGTAAACACCTCTCACATGGTATGTATACATTGCTAATGAAAGAAAAATGACTACAACAGCATTCAGCAATACAGCATTTTGAACTCTAGGCTACTATTGCACTGCCTTTCACTAAGAACACACACCAACGCAACATACACTCCCCATTTGCATGTGAAATTAAACCCAACTACTGTACAAGAGATAAGAAATAAAATTACTGAACAAAACACGAGATTTTCTGATTTTAGGTTTAAGCAAAAGAACAGCAATGGGGGTATCGTTAAAAGTTTGTATTAGTGTAACAGTTATGAAATTTTATTTATAACTTTTGTATACAGCAGGCAACAGGCAGGTAAAATAATACAACTGATATTGAGCATGCTCAGTCTTTAACACAACTCATTAAACATTATTATATTTAATGACTTCCCAGAATACTTTATGGTGGAAGCAGGACAGGAATCAGGGAAAATGAGAAAACAACTTGCATGTACTCCCTAAATTGAAGAAAATTGAATTTTGAAAGTTCGATGAACTGATGGAGCTAAATAAGGACCTTCAAAGCAATTTTAGATCCATTCCTATTCCTGACTATGGTGAATACAGACACTTACACGATCTAGGGATCAATGACTTAGGCATGACAGTTACATGAGCTCACACATTTTGTTGAAACTTCATAGGATACTGCCACTCACTCACCCAATTGCTAATATGCACACTAATTGATTCATTCTATACATGGAAGCTACCTCTGTCTACTGGTACCCAGTTTCTAATCTCAAATTTCACACCCCTTTATGTGAAATGTAATTGTGATAAACAGGTAGGACATGTCACAATTTCACTTTTTTTAAACTGTCAGCAAACTATTTCTCTTTCATTGTGCAGGAGAAGAAACAGCTTTTAACAGAACCCTCCAGAATGTAACATCCAAAATAATCAGTCATAGCATAGGGCATTAACACGCAAATTGAGATTACACGCCACTTTAAAACAAACTCAGTATTATTTAAAAAGTAAAAAAAAAAAGATTAAGAACATGGATACTTGGGCAATTTTAATTCATTCTAGAACAGCAAAATAGGATTTGGCTCCAGTCTTTACAATGTTGTTAATATTAAGTGATTTGTATTTTTGATGAAGTACGGGAACAAAATGAACGGAAACCTCATACATAAGGTGGATTTACGCTTGTTGTTCCGCTCATGCCGCTCATGCCTCATAGGTTACTTCGAGCGCCAGACAGCCCAATGTAACATTGGGGCGACAGAAGCTGAGAGACATCAGAGCAACAAGTCAATCCACCTTCTGAGTATTTAAATGTCAGCAAACCTTACCATTCTACAACAAAAACATCTAGACATTCATTAACACATCCCAAGGAGAACTACCTCCGTAACAACTGAGTAAAAACATCAATTAAACACATTAATTATACACTCCAAACTTACAATAAGCATTAGCACCAAATTGACATCAGGATGCATTTTGCATCCAGACTTTAAAGAATACAGGAGGAATACAGTCATTCAAATATGTGGTGACACCAAAATCTTAATTTTAAGTTTGAGAAAATTGGTCAAGTTCGCATGAATACGATAAAGAAACCACAGACAATTAATTCATTATATACCAAGTACAAAAGAAGCGAATGTGAAAGATTCCTATTAGGTTGTGAAGGCAATACTGGCATTAACCTCAGTAAATTTAATTGTTACAAAATATAAATATTCAAAAATATTAATTCATAACTCTTCGGAATGACAGTTGAGGCAAACCCTACGGGCATATGGAAAAGTGCAAAAAAAGAACAACAAAAAAACATTCCTCTTTTCCATTAAAAAAAAGTGATACACAATATATAAAATATATAAATACAAAGTAAAGTAACAGCATGATATGTGAAAGATAACCAAGAAAAATGTAAGGTCATACAACAACCTATAAAATGTAAATACAGAGGAACATGCAAATGATGGTAACATTAAGAAAACAGAAAGGCACTAACTTTCAAATTAGTTAATGGACATGAACATTCTGAGCTACACAAAAAAGATCACATACATAACATCTGAAGTTACTTGTTCATTTGCATCCTTAACATACATACACAATCATCAAAACCAAAACTAGTGTTTGACTGGAATGTTATTGAGGTTTCATTTTGCACAACTACGTGCTTGAGTAAAATACAGTACATTAGGACAATACAATAAAAAAATGGTGTACGCAGAATTTAAAAAAAGAAAAACTCTTGCCACTTTCACAGGGCACATGAAGAGTTAAGAAATTAGGGTCTGTTCAAACAAATTGGACAGACAGTGCTGTTTACAAATGGCACCAATGAAGAGAAAATTTAAGATGGGAGTATCACTTATTTAAAAGCACTAGATCACATTGAAGAATTCATTTCACTTGCCAAAACAGGAAATGGTCATAGGTTCTACAGTCTTGAATTGACTTATAATAAAGCACTTATGTTATAGAGACATGTTAGCTCAATTCATTCATGATTTATTTTGATTGTTAAGTCTCTTCATTTTGTAGAAATTCGTTGCATATAGGAGTTTGACATCATTCTTCAAAGGCTGCAACTGCATCTTTAAGAGTGCTGACAATCTAGAAATAAAGAAAACCAGTCTAAGATCAACTCTGATATGGAAAATATTAAGTGTGAAGAAAATTGATGCATACCTTTTCATAAAATATAATTTGCTCATTCAAATATTTTTTCATGCCTTGTTTGAAGTCTTCTGCTCTTTCACTGTGGAAATGGTTGATTTCCGAGAGCAAGGCGTAGGAAACAACATCTGTGCGTCTAGTCACTTCATTCAGTTGAGTCTGCTCCATTTTATGATCACCTGCTAACTTTTCACATTCTTTCCGCTTTTGGAGTGCACCCTGGGCATCAAGAGGGAAAAGGTTAAAAAGTAGGAAGCCTGAGTATGTCACATAAAGTCACAATAGAGGGGTAGCAAAACATACCTTGTGAACTGTGAGAATATCGGGGAAAGAGGCAATTATTCCTCTATATAGATGTAAGACATCACCAAAGGGCTCCCAGTCCAACTTTGGCTGTTCTTCAAAGAGCCTTCCGATTGAATTGTATGCCTCTCCAGTCATTTTGATAGCAACACTAAGATTGGCTCTTGGGCTCGCTGTGACAAACAAAAAGTTTATGTAAAAATGAAGCAATAAACCACTTCACATCTCATTAAAAGTTTTCTTACATGCCGGTTCTTCAAACGCCTGACCCAGGCTATAAAAGGCTTGCCCTATGCGTTGATACTCTCTCTTGTAGTGACCTTGATGTTTTTTTGTTTGATCAAATGCAGTGGCCATAAGGTTCTTGACAGCAACATCCATGCCTTGAATGAACTTTGCACAATTGTCTGTTTCTAGTTCCCTGAATCAAAATGTTGTTTTTAAAATCACAAAATGTAAGTGAGTGGGTGCTTCTATTAAGATGCACTGATAATTTAACTTACAACATGTATGGAGCGATAGTCGCCTCAGGAGCTTGAAGAGCAAAGAAGTAGTTGGCTCCAACTAGTTCATCTTTTTCAGCCCTGCGCTTGCCTGCCTTCCAGCGCTTTTCATCAGTGCATGTTAAGAAATGCTGCCACACTTCACATCTTGATAATACTGGATGGCGACAAACACTATCAACGAAGAGTTGAAGTTGATTTTTGCGGTGCTCTATAAATTGTTCTTCATAGCGTCCTGCAGAAACCAAGGGAACAAGTTTTAATTGAATAATACTAGCAACATGTTTGTTCACTCGATTGCTATCCCACCTGAAATCTGTTTATCTGGCAGCGGAGGGATGGGTATTAGGCTGAACTTCTCTTCTAACCTTTCATGTAGCCAATCAAAATGTTTGTACCTTCTTGACACTTGGATGTTGTTGAACTAAAACCATGAAAGGAAGGCATTTAATTTTTCATCAGAAGTATGTCAGATTAATTAAACATGAGTCATACATGGTCTTCGTACCGACGGAGTTAGTTGGTAGGCAATAAAGCTCTTCAGTCCTTTCAACTTGGTTTCTTTTTTAGGTTGGGCAACAACACAGGAGTATGGTTCTGGATTTGGGCTCCAAATGGGTCCCTCATGGCCATCGACAACCCACACCTTGCTACCATCAGGAACAGGAACTTGCACAGTTCCAAGAATATAACTTTCTCCACCTGATTTCACAAATGATGTAAATCTGTTGAAATTTTTACGGCCAATAGTTCCTTTTGGCTCTGTAGAGCGACCTAAAATAAAAAGAAATAGTGAGTTAGCCAATCATTGATTCAGCTCTCACTGACAAGAAAAAGAAGTCAATGCTATCTCTGGCCGTACCAATTGAACTAACATCCCCTGCACTCCCCGATTTAGGTACATGAGGGAAACTACTTGCAACTGCCCCCATACCAGGTCTGCTTCCATTTTCTGATTCATCATCCCATTCATCGTATGAGTCATCACCAGCATCATAGCTCTGCAAGAGTAGGACGAATAAAAAAATTTGTCGGCCAAGGTAAACCCAGTTATCAAGAAATATATAGAAACCTGAGTATTGGCGTAAGTTGAATTTGATGGATTTTCTCCCCAATCATCATTATTAAAAGATTGTGGAAGAGGAGGTGGTGGCATAGCTGGAGGCTGACTGACGACTTCCTTAGGAACAAAATAAATTCAATATGAGATAGAAACTAAAAAAGTAATCTCTCAAAAATACATACAAATAGGCACAATCTTTTTAACAATGAAATGAAGCTGCATGAAATCTTACTTGGACGTAGGCCGCAGGGAACAGCCCAGTTTGCCCGGAAGCACATTGACCCTCCCACCATCCTTCTCCAACATCTTTCCTAGTGACTTTGAGGAGATCTCCCGCCTTTATGGACAGCTCAGCTGTGCCAGGCTCTCCGCTAAAATCATACAGTGCCTGAACCTAGGGACAAATAGGGAACGTTGGTCAATGAGTCACACATGTACAAGCAAACGAAGTACACTAGAAGTAGTTAAACATAATACAAAGCACAATTTTTAAAAAACTTAAAAGATAAAATAAGAGAAAATGTTAAAGTTAGACTGAGGGTGCCGAGGGATGGGACGAGTAGGAGGTGATGACTAATAAAACTCTGATTAGATTATGAAAAACATAGACCAAAATTTTGCATTTCAAGAAGCTTGGTCGGCAGGTCTATCCATCTACTTAAAAACAACCAAGTAACTGATTTTTTTTTAAAATGGCTCAAATGCAGTTGAAACAGACATTAAAAGAAATATTGTGACAGCAATGGAATTTCAAGACAACGCCTGTTGCACGACCGCTAGAAAATGGGTGAGACAATATGAGCACACAAAGAGACTACAACCTTGTCTCCATGCGACAACAATAGTACAGTGGTAGAACCTAGTTTCCCCTTTTTAATGAAAACACAATGCGCAACGGATAAAACCGATAAAGACCTGCAAAATTAAATTGTCAGCTGTTGTTATTGCTTACCGTCACACCCGCCATTTTAATGCCAAATGACATCGCCATTCATGCCTTCTAGCAGAACTCGTTCTAGCTGAGAATCACCGGATGTCGGGGGCCGTCCGTGGAGCGGCAGTTTCAAAAATTCGCAGCACAATTTTGAAAACAACAATAACTAAATCTCAGACACGCACCTAAACCAATGATGAGACAATTTTTAAAATACGTTTTGCGGAAATCATGAAGATAACCTCGAAAAATTGAATAAGACCATAAGACCAAGTAGACAGAAGACAGGAGATGTCATGTCGTAATTCTCGCATTGGCCGTGAGAGAGCGCTTGACTACAAAATAGAAAGGATTGAGGCGCAACCTGGGTTTACATGCGCTGTCGTGGGTTAGGATCTTCTTAAACAGTACATTTAGATGTTTGAACCAATGTTCTAATGTTCTTTGGAGTCTTGTCACTCAATGATTGCCCCCTCGCTTCTTAGAAAGTTTAAAGTCCAACTTGTTGGTAGTGCTTTTCATTTTTCAATTACTCGTAGTTTTATAAAGTCTGCAACGATGGCTAAAAGCAAGTATGAATATGTGAAAACGTTCGAATCAGACGATAAAATTCTACCAAATTCATGGATAGTTGTCAGACTAGATGGGAAAAACTTCACCAAGTTTTGTGAAACACACAGCCTTGAAAAGCCAAACGACAGTCGTGCTTTAGATTTGATGAATAAATGTGCTACTGTTGTCATGGAAGAGTTTCGTGAAATTTCTCTGGCTTTTGGTCAAAGCGATGAGTACAGTTTTATTTTCCGAAGAGACACAGCCATCTATAATCGTCGTGCTGCTAAAATCCTGACCAATGTGAACTCGTTGTTTGCTTCATCATTTGTGTATTTTTGGAAAGATTACTTTGCCAATGTACGGCTGATGTATCCACCCACCTTCGATGGGAGAGTCGTGATTTATCCAACAGATGCCAACCTCAGAGACTATCTTAGCTGGCGGCAAGCTGATGTCCATGTCAACAATTTGTACAATACTGCCTTCTGGATGCTGGTGCTCAGAGGAGGGTTAACAAATGTCCAGGTAAAGACCGCCTGGGTATTGCAGGTGTCCAACACAATAATCTTTTTTATATTTAAAATGATGACAATTTTATTTTAGGCTCAAGAAAGACTTCGAGGATCTGTTGCAGCGCAGAAGAATGAAATTCTGTTCTCAGAATTCAACATAAATTATAACAATGAACCTATTATGTATCGGAAAGGTACTACTTTGCTAAGAAAAGTTGTTAATGCTCCTGCAGCAAAACCGCGACATGTTATTCTTCCCTTTCATACAGATCTTTTTAATGATAAGTTTTGGAATGAACATTCTGAAATTTTAGGGCTTAAATCACCACAGGTCTACTGTGAGCCTGATCTAGAATTGAAGAGTCTGAAGCTCCATGACAATTCAAAGGAGGATAGGGTAAATATTTAACAGGACTGATGCCTTTTACAATCAATGCAACATTTTATACCTCAATTCTAATGTTTATATTAAAGTTTGATCAGTGTTTGTCATCAGTAATCAAATTAAACAAGAAAAAAATCAGAATAAGAAATTAGCTTTATTATATCACTTAAAACACCTCAACACCTTGTAAAGAGAAAAAGTACCGAATTGCATGAAAAAATTAGCATAGCAAAGTCAGTCTACATCAAACAAAAGTTTAGCTGGTGTCCATAGACTCTTCGGAATCTGGTCCAGGGACTTTACGTACAACTTCTTCTTCTACAACAATAGGGATGACTCGCTGGTTCAGAACGACTGTAGTACCTTTCTTGTACTTGTACGTGTTGATCCTACAAACAGACAAGAGATTTAAATATGGAATTGGTACTGGTAGGCTCTTAGGAGACAAGGAGGAAAAACTAATTACCTTTGTCCTTTCTCATTAGCCACCTGATATGGTCGAATGAAATCGACAGTGCCTTTCTTAAGGACGCACACATCAATGTTGTTACCAGATGCCAAGTCATTGAAAACACCTGCAGCTACAGCATCGCGTACGAGCACTTTAGCTTCTTCTTCCTGAAAAGAGGAATGAATGTAATTTAAAATTCTGGGGAACACAAACCTCGACATGATGAACCAGAACATAATCATAGCAAGAAAAGGAGAGTGTGGGATGTTTGTACTTACAGACATGTTAGGCTTCCAACGTGACTCAAACACAGCCATAGCAGCAAGTGAACCAGAACCCATGGTGCAGTAAGGAAGGTTGTCACTTGATCCATGGGGATAGATATTGTAAAGATGAGGACCAGCGTTGTCAACTCCTCCCAAGATAAGGGCTGCTCCAATATGTCCCTACAAAGTGCAAAGACATTATGCATCCCTCAGTCTCAAATCTCTGTAGACTATATACTACAGGCATTATTACAAACCTGATAGCGGAACAACATCTGACGGAGCATCATATTTGCTGTAACTACTGGTACAACGCGACCAGTGTTCAGGCGGTGAAGTTCCAGCTGAGAGCTGATGGCTGCTGTAGTAAATTCGGTGTCAGCGGCAGTACCAGCACCACAGCAGCTAGATGTCATGGAAAGAGAAGTATTTTAGAAAATGTTCTGACTGCAATTTTACAGTTTGGAAAACAGCAATCATGATTAATAACTTACTACATATTAGGAGCCATGTAATGGATTTTCTGACAGTTCTTGCTTGCAACAATGGTGTTTTCAGTAGCACGGGTGTCAGCTCCCAATACAACACCATCTCTGAATACTGCACCAACAATTGTTGTACCAGTCTTGGTTGCCTTTGGAGCAGGGAAGCCTTTCTTGACCAAAAAAGCATTCCTAAAAATTGAAAAAAAAAACCACAAAATTATGACATGTCACCACTGATGCAAATGGACATTACCATTATAGCCAAAGACTATGAGGATCAGACACATGGAAAATAAATGACACAATGTGTTATTTAATAAGACCAAAATATCTAACTTAAATATTCAAAAACAGCACGAAGAGCGCAGTTACAGAGAAAAAACAAATACTCCCCCATCATATGCAGGTTAGGGGAGTATGATATAGATTACTCAGGCAAATGCTTGAAATGAAAAATTTTAGTTGTAAGTTGATGCAATAGAAAATTATTCAAAGAACATTCCTAAATCGAAGAAAAATCAATAATTTACATAGTATAATTGAAAACAGAAGGCGGATGACATGACATAGCAGCTTTTGTTTACAGGAACATACCGTCATGGTTTCATTCATAAATTTCAGAAAGTCATTTATGAACTAAGTACTGGAAAAAAGTGAACGTTACCTTTGGTGGTTCTCGAAAGAGAAGCCGGGAGGCGTAACTTCGGGGCACAGGACGGATGCCATGATTTTCTCAGTCACTAAATAACTAACCACAAAGCACAAACCGGTGGCTCCGCTCTGGCTCAGTCCTCGATATCTCGGCGGCCATTACAGTGCCAAAGCTCCCAACCCACCCAACCCCAACCCCAACCCACTCATTCATGGGAATCCCTAGAAAATCGATGAGAGGTATTGTCAGAAATGAAGACGGACATGATAGTTCAAAATTCACGTTTCTATGGAAGTCGTAACACCGGTAGCAATCATACGAATAGATGTGGAAGAATAAAGAAGGTTGGTGCGCCTGTTCCGATACGATGAGTCGATTCCTAAAATCGATTGTAATTCCCTTTGGCAACAACTTGCGTAGGGCTTTCTCAACCTTGCGGTTTTTATTTAACTCCAGGCCAGTCCAAAATTAGCCATAGAAAGAAAAAACGGTGACTACTTGATAATTAACTTTATTTCTTTTATACATACATGTTTCTGTACAGCCAGATCTTGTAGGCTAAGACATGAGACAGACGTACTACTGAGAGTTCTACATCAAGCTCTGCATATATCACAGAAATCCCCTAGCATAACAACAAACAATAATGATAATGTTACAATCTGTTTAAAAGACAGTATTAGATTTAGTAACTGCACTAAAACCAACTCCCGCCCCGCACACACAGACAATTGTTGGCACTTTATTTTTAAAGAATGTGGCAATTTATTATCACATCAGCAATTGTGTGTGCAAATGGCAAAATAAAATGTACAGAGCTGTGCAGCTCCACAAGATTTTCTACATTATTGTCAATGATACTCTGTTAATCAAACACTCTCATCATTCATATTGACCCATTCACTCTCACAGTCACACCTTCACTCAACAAATGAGCAGGAATTAATAATAACACTCTGTTATTTGAACTCCCGGGAATGAATATAAAACAATACTAGTGCAAGACTCACTAGTTAGTTAATAGAAGTAAAATACTAGATGTAACACATAGAAAAGAGAAAGTTTCTGATAAGGAGTACCAACAATAAGCATTTTATATAGGCCATTGGCATTTCAAGGCTCAACAAATGGAAGATAATACTATCACGGGGATGGTGAATTTTGAAACACTTTTGACCTCTAATCACAGAATAGACACGGTGAGCACAGTGAACAAAAAAACACCCACAAAATCACTGCCAAATTCTCTTACCACATCCGAAAACACATTCACTCACTCATTCAGACTTCTGGACTGACATTTTTTTTTGTTATTATAGTGATTTTTTAAAGGGGGGGGGGAGGGTTTGTCAGAACCAGACATTCACCCATGTTGAAACAAATTGCAGTTCATCTCAGGCTCACACCACTATGGCATGCAATTTTGCACATCCCCTTCCCCACATACCAGGTCATTTTCCTTGCTACCACACCAAGACAAATAAATTATACAGATAAAAGAGAAATACCTACACTAAACAAAAGAAAAACAAACAAAAAAACCTAAACAAAAACAAGCTAATGGAATGTGCCTTCTTATAATGAATTGTGGAAGTACATAAATAACTTAACAGTAAACTACAAAATTTGATAAGTAGATATTGCAAAAGAAGAAAAAAACAAATAAAAGCTGCATTTCAATGATTATTCTGTTCTACATTACAGGAGAATGCAGTGTTGAAGACCTACAAGTCTCAAAGTAACAAAAACAAAAAGAACAAACACACTGAATTTCCTTGACTCTGAAAAAGCATGGCACAGTGAACGAATTACAGCAGCAAGGAAAATAACTCAATACATGGGGTGGTCAGATAATGTTGCATATCATATACACAGAACATGAAACCCCACCTCCAGCAGCACCCAACTGAACTTCAGCATTAGTTTATACTGCATTTTAAACTACACCCATGTGTGCACATGGCTTTTTAATTATTATGTGGAAATTAATGAACAGAAAATAATTTATATCTTTGCAATAATAGTACAAGACACTCAGGAAAACTAAATACAACACATCTGTGAATGATGTGGTGTCGTTCCACACAGCTCTAACCAAGAACGGTATGGCTCGACAGGGTCCTCCACATAGATTACCTTACATAAGATCAACACTATAAAAATAAATTTATTAAACCTCAAGGAAAATTTACAATACTTTTTCTTTGTCTTCTATAAAAGTATCCATGATTTATGAATGAATATGTACACATGAGGGATCTCATACAGCATCCTATAAACACTCGATCTCACTGATTCCAGACAAAATAGTCAATAGAAATAATGATTTCACTGCATAAATAATAAAACAAGTGCATGACTGATCTATTGAAGTGGGGACCTGTGTGCTTAGTCATTTCTACCTACAGCTAGAAGTAGTTACAACACAGTTCTCAATTCTTGCTGCTGCCTGCCAATTAATATTGAAGGTGTAAGTACTAAGTACATTTTATTGCTGCTTATTAATTGAACAAGGAACCTGTGTGATTTGAGGCAGCTAGATGCTGGCATCTAAATGCACGGGTGTGGCCATCAGGTACGCTATGTGGTGCATAATAGCATCTCCTATGTAGTTTCCCTGTTGAGAAGGAAACCATTAAGAGTTAAAATAAATTTTAATAAGGTAAAGCAGCTTTAGTTAACATTTTAACTTAACTTACCGAGTGATTTTATCCATGACACCTCTTATTTCAGTTTCTGTGACATCTGGGACAAGTTTATGCACCATTTCACGCACAAATAGGTCTGATATGCCAGGACTGGCTCTTTCAGCAAGCTCAAAGGCATTCTTCAGCTCCTCAATAGCATCTGTGCGGTGAGATGTGTCACCACCTTGAGGACTGTAATCACGTCGTCTCTGCAGCTGCATTGGGAGAAGGGGACAGACATCAGTTGGTGTGTACAAAATTTAAAAAATAATAAGATAAGTATTTCCACAGGAAACTGGAGTAATACCTCAGAAATGATGGGATAAATAACTCGGCAAAGGCAGGGTGATCGTTGATGGTGAGCATGACGAGAACTCACACGATCACTTTCAGCCAAATCCGATCTATCTGATCTATCCGATCTTTCTGCTCTTTCAGAGCGATCATTGCGATTTGCATGATCAGATCGAGCTCCATGATCATTTCGGTCATTTCTATTCATGTGATCTGAGCGGTTGATATGTTCAGATCTCTCTCCTCGGTGATCTAACGGCCCAATTTCTTTAGACCCTCGTTTCTCTCTAGTTCCTGGTGTCTGTGATGTGGCTTGGACTTGTGGTGGAGGCTGAACTTGTACTGAATGCTGAGGGCTCTCAGTAGGAGGTGGTGGAGCATTACACTGAGGTCGAGACTGTAGAGCAGAAATATATCAAACTTTTAGTCAAGAACGTCTAAAATACCAGCACAGCCAAGTATCAAAATGAACATACAGGTCCAGGGCTTTTATCATTTCGATGATGATTTCCATTTAGCCTGTGGTTGTTCTCTTCTTGAGGAGGTTTGATATTGTGAATACCCTTCACAGTCATAATCCATGGCTCATCCATGTCACTGTCTGGCTTTGATTCCTCTCTAAACACATAAACAAAGCAAATGAAATAATTTGGGACACCATCAGTTGCAATTAATCTGCTCGTCCTGCAAAGTCACTTACGAGTCTGAATTTTCACTTTCTGTCTCACTCTCCTCACTGCGTGATGACTTCCACTTTTTGTACCTATCGATTAAGTCTACAAGATAGGAATTCTTCTTGGCTTTACGAATGAATGGAAATTTCAAAAGCTCTTTAGCTGTAGGTCTCTGCAAGTAGTTACACAAAAGAGAAATGAGGAGAGTGGTAATGATTTGATAGGGATGTAAGATTCATTAGACAGCACTTACATTTTCAGGATCCTTATTAAGACAAGCTTCCACAAATTCTTTGAATTGGCGACTGTAGTTACCAGTAAGTTGAGGAGGATGGTTTTTGGGTATAAGAAAGAGAACACGCATTGGATGAAGCTCCGAGTTGGGAGGTTCACCTTTGGCCAACTCAATTGCCGTTATTCCCAATGACCAAATATCAGCCTGGTTGAGTGGGAGAGTAGACATGTTAATGCTCCACTTCTTGTGAAATAGGTAAATCTCAACGGGTCATACTTTGAAATATGTAGAACTTACTTTAGAGTCATAAGCAGACTGTTTGATGACTTCTGGGGCCATCCAGAAGGGAGTTCCCACAAAAGTATTTCTTTTGCTGGTAGTGTTGGTCAGCTGACCTGCTACACCAAAGTCTGCTAGCTTCACATCACCCATCTCACTTAATAGCACATTTGCAGCTGAAACATGTGGGGGAGTCAAGGGTTAGTAAGGAATTCACCTTGAATGGAGCTGGATTGCACTCAAAACACGTTCAGATTGCTTTACCTTTGATGTCTCGGTGCAGTTTTCGCTCAGAATGTAAATAGTCTAGACCTTTCAGTACCTCACGAAGTATAATGGCTATGTGCATTTCTTCAAAAGACCCTGCTTTCATTAGATCCAGGGCGGAGCCACCACCCAAATACTCCATGATGATCCATAATTTGGTACCCTGAACAAAAATTGTGAGTCATCAGATGAATGATACAGGATTATCAGATAAGACGATAGAGATAAGAATGTCTATTAGCTGCAAGACAGAAGACTAATAGCTATACCTTGAGGTAGGAGCCAAAGTATTTGGTGACAAATGTTGAATCACACTGGCTGAGCACCATGATTTCTTGTTGAATATCCTCGATTTCATCTTCAGCTTCTTCCAAGTCAATGATCTTGATGGCAACGACCTGCTGGGTCCGTTTGTCGATTCCTTTGAATACTTCACCAAAAGAACCTTTACCAATCCTCTCTTGCTTGGTGAAGATGAGTTCGGGATCTACTTTCTGTTTAGGAACAAAAATGATGAAAAATGATTGTGTTAGTTAAGAGATGATGCCGATTTCTTCAGCCGAGTGGGTCAGAAGACATGTTGAATACGTATGATAAAAGTAATTACAGGACATTGTTTGCAATCAATGTAAGGAGGCAGAAATTGAATTAGCAATACGTTTCCTGAGGACTGACGTAGATAGCACACGTGACAAAAACAAACAGATAAGATAAGTGATTGAAACTTACAGTAAAAGATAATTACTTTAGACGGAAATTAAGAAAATCTTATAGAATCATAAAACAATAGTAGGATCATCAAATAATGGAGCTGGGATGGTGAGGGATGGCAAGTGATGGCCAATGACAAGTTAAAATCAGGCCACCACTGCAAACTAGGTCCAGTCTAAACTCCTCGGAGGTGAGTAAAAAATCTTACAGTCATCTGATCCGACTGAAGGAAAGTCTGGGAAATGAAGTAGAACAGCCGTCTGGATTCGTTCTTTGAGGACTTCTTAGACCTTCCTGTCAGGTCAGTGCCAGACGCTCACGGCCCTTCGAACTCATTGACCAAGTCTCGCATCATAAACAACACCGTCCCGCAGCAGAACATCTGGCCTTTCGTCGGACTTGCGGGTGCAGGCGACACCTCAACAGAAAGCGCCCTGGGCGAACGGGTGACACGACACGACGGCACGGTAAGCCTGTCCTTATCGATCCTGTCCGACCCAATGCCAGTGCCAGCAAGGTTATGTTGCACTCCACTCGCCCTGGTGGAGTCCTGTCGCCCGTCCGCAGGTCCGCAGGAATGCACTGGCCTAGTTCGGGGAGGTTATGTGGGACCAGGTAGACGGAGCCCTTTGGGGAAGACTGCTTCGCCCCCGGGGCCAAGGGGCGGCGGTCTGGGCGACCCCGAAGGGGGCTCGCCGCCCCGCCCCCCGGGTAGGCAAATACCTTGATGCGCTAGGCTCTGAGGGCGGAGTTGGTGGAGGGTCCTGCCACTGGGCAAAACAACTCTACGACAAGGGTTGCGCTGGTCGCTGCTCACCTCATTGAAAGCCATGACGGCGGCCGCGACGGCAGACAAAGCTCAGCTAGGCCCTGTCTGCGGCCTCCACCGCATACTTAGACGAGCACTCGGCCTTGGCTTTGGGCTAGGCAACTTGGAAGGGCTTTGCGTCAACAGGTTCAATCTTCTGGCCTCTGCTGGCATGACGGCGCCATCTTGCCGTGTGGCCCGACCCGACTGCCAGAACTGCCGCTGCCGCACCGCGCCTACCGCACCGCCGCTGCAACCCCGCGGCCCCCGCGGTGTCCGCGGTGCCGCCCCGCCCCCCGCCGCCCCTCCCCGCGGACGCGGCGCGGTGAGCGCGGTGTTTTCACGTCACGTCGACGTCGCGCGTTGCATCGGCCCTATCTGCGCCTCGCGTCGTCGCGTCTAGGTCGCGTCGCGTCAAGGCGCACATCTGTGCCGTTTTCGTCTCCAGCCGAATCTGCCGCCGCGGGCGTGGAGTCGAGCATCGAGAGGGAGGAAGCTGGAGCAAGGGAAGCCCCGCTGTACCCGCTAATCCTTTGAGATCATTTGAATGGCCGCTCTAGCCTAGGGTAGGCGACAGGCCTTCCGCTCTCGTAGTGACTTCCCCATTCAACTCCTTGCGGGTCAGGAGCAGGATGTACATCAACATCTGCAATGCTCGCCAAGAGATAACTCCCTCACAGTTGATCTTTATCTTTCTCAATGAAACACAAGATAACATTTCATGCCACTCTGTTGATAAACGTGACTGCTTTTGTTCTTTTGAGTGTGTGAATTAAACTCTGTGAGCACATTCAAGGGAGTGAAGAAGTAATGACACAACACTGTACATCATATTGTCTAGATGGGAAAGCAATGTATATTTTCCATTATCATACATTATGTTTAATAAAACCATCAAGCTACATCCATCTTAAACAGTATCTTCCAAAACTCACAATTAAATTTTCTAGTCTGACACTGGTCTATAAACATTTATACTTAAATTAAGACATTTAAATAAACTGACATTTGACTTAGAATTATGCTTATCACAAAGCTTCTTCAAGCTCACAGTAAACTTGCATCGGAGACCACTTTCCTAACCAGGGAGATCATCATATTCGCTTAGAATGATGAATTTCTCACAATTTTCCTATAATGCGAGCACAGTCAAAAACATAGCAGTATACTTCAGACAGGTAGTCAAGCATAATGATTCTCCAAAAACCAGATGAACTACTACAAGCAGCAATTCAATTTAAAAGATTACACTTAGGACAGACAAAAGCCATGCAAAGGAATTGACAATAATTACACAGATCAAAGTATACAATCAAGTAATAAATTTTCACATTAAAAAATTGCGCTTGCACGCATTGCCAACTCTCAATTTGAGTTCCAAGTGCATGAGAGAGAAATAAATGGTACTGACTTGACTTTTACAAAAATGAATAAGGTTAAAAAGGAAAGGTTACAATACCCCAGTACGTACATTCTGGTACAACTAAAAAAATGCCAGAGAGGGGTCCAGCCCCTACCTCTGGCTCAGTACATAGAGTTCTAAAATAAAAGAGGTAAGTTTCCATATGCTTGCAAAATCGGAGTCATTAAAGGAGCAGGAGCACATGCACATGAGTAAGCAGACTCCAAATATGTGACTGATATTACAATCTGACTTAATAAAATGTGTACACAAAGAAGAATTCATAAGATTTTTGTGCTCCCAAATGTTATTCTACTCAAAACATTACATTATAAGAGAAAAATACACTTAAAGCTTCATTTAATTGCATACACAGATTTTTTGGAAATGTTGTAGCAGAGTGCAACACATTTTTGTTTTGTCTTTATTGTGTCACTACTATGTACATGCTATGTACAAGCAGACATGCTTCAAAGTCAAAATTATAATAAAGTCCAAAAAGACCCAGAAATTTAAGACAGGAGTAAAAGAGACCAGTTTTGAATTTCAGAGCTACTTAAGCAATTGTACAGAAAGGAGACTAGGAGGTAACACTAACAGCAATCCTAACACCAATAGCAATGAAATACACATGCTACAAGCTAGAGAGCACACTGCCTATACTAAAGAGTGCACTAATTCTTAACTTTTCTACCCCTATAATATTAGGGGCAGAAAAAAAAGGAAAGGGGAGGGGGTAAGAGAAAGATAGTGAGTGCTGCCTAACTTAAATAACTAGTTTACGAGAGTACAACTCAAAAATGAAAGTATTGAATGACACGAAAGGCTTAAAGCTTTGTCAGACGCAAAACAAAACGAGATAAGGGTTACAATTGACAATATCAAAGATGGCACTTTAACTGATGTCCTTAACATGTGAGGAAGCATACACATTTCCTAATTAATAAGTATGCAATATCACAGACTGCATTCAAAAATTTAAAAGAAAAAAAAATCCTATGTTTGTGTTTTGCATAGCACAAAAGATACAATAAAATCCATTCCAGCAAATGGTGAATTTAGAAACAAGTCCTGTTGCCAAATGTTCTCTTTACAATCATACATGAAAAAACAGCAAAAAACATTCACAGAAGAGATAAAACAAAAGAAAAACATAACACTAATATCTAGCATTAAGTGGTTAAATGTTTACGCTTCCAAACATGCATAATTCCATAGTTTATTGATTGAAGTGATGACTTTGGTATCTTCAAGCATATAGACTTGACGCCTATAGGCCTTCATTACGCAATCACAGTGAAGTGCATGTGCTGTGCCTGTGCCAATCGCGTGCAATACTTGCACAAAACTAAGTTGGTTCATTTTGAGCTTCAAGAAAATTGGCAGTTTGTCAATGTGAGTCCCACTCATGAGATATGGCGCTCATTTGTTCAATTTATTCCTACTGTACACAGCACATCCAGTGCAATGGTACTAATATCAAACTAGAATATCAACGATTCCTGGCTTCTGCTGCTACAATGGGCACATACAAACCTTACACATTGAAAATATTTAAACAAAACATTACATTACAGACCGAACATAAGACATACAAAAGTACAAAGCTCACTTTACTAGATACAGAATGTGTGCTGTGAGCAAGAGTTACTCAGGCCTCAACGGTACAAATCTCTAAATTTTAGATTAAAAACTTGAAACATGCTTGCAGCTAACACATGTAATGTTGATCAGTTATTGAGTTAATTAAACGACCGAGATAAGCATCAATACAAACCTTACATTTAGAAAGATCAGACAGTTTGTCAAAGAAACAATCATGAGAAAACTAATTTACAAACCAAATTTCATAGAGTAGACACATTCTGATATGAAACATGACCTAACACATTTTGCTTAAGTTTTCAGCCAAAACTTCAGTTCATCTATCTCGATGATGAAATCTTTCTTATCCCCAATCAAACCACTTGTCCACTTTCTGTAAATGAGCCATATACAGTATAGGTAATAACTTCAACTTGAATAGACCGATAGGAATAAAATAGAATTCATGAGAGTGTGACATTCAGCTAAATTCCTTTGGCCCCCAGGATGGGAAATAAACACCATGTTGATTCTAGAATTATTTGGAAGGAAGTGATGTTAAATTGTGAGCATCTCACAAGTAAGTTACTGCTCTTACAAGATAAGATTAACATTAATAGGAATGTATTGGCTCTTCATTTGTACTTTCAAAACCAAGATGCGTAAGGAGCTCAAAAAGTTCCTAATTTAGAGAATGATCAAAACCAATCTATGGCCAGCAACTCATGAAACATTATGATTATTAATGTTTGTGGACGTAACCATAAAAACCAGTTTACAAGTAAGTTTGCCATTTTAAAAAGATTCAATGAATTGTACATAGGCAAGTGGATAGGGTATAAAGACTTCGACCAAAGAACTAATGATCAACAGGAGATGTAATAAACATAAGCAATATTGTCTTTAAAAGCACTTATTAGAAACAGAGTACAAATCTGTCCAGTAACATTCATATTAGCTGCAGTATCAAAATTGCGCCAGTCAGACCTGTGGGGAAAATGTGGACCCACATTGTTCAAATCAAATGATCAAACTTACTCAGACCATTACACCATTTACACTTCACAACTATACTACATTCACAACCACAGAATATTCTGTTACTCCCAAGCTAATACAAAAAACCACATACTGTTCATTCAAAAGTTACAGAAATTCATTATAAAGATAGAATGAAGAGGAGAAACAAACACAATTGAGCTCTGTGTGCGGGTCATGAAAGGAAACATTGATAATAATATAAAAAATTGTGTTGAATATTTAGTTGATAGCAATGCATCACACTACTCAAAAGCATTACGGTCTTATTGATTCTCCTCTTTTCATCATTCCTTTTTCCTTGTTGAAAAATTATAAGAAATGTTGACTATTTAAAATTAATTGCAACCAGGGCCCTACAAAAATAGATTCATTGCGATTCAGTGTGAGGTACATGGTACAAATTTCAAAAGGTACGGCTTTGCAAGACTTCCCCTTAAGCTACATTCATGATGGAAAATTTAGAAAAAGCACATCCATAGACATGTCAATCACCTCCTGTACAAATGAATAAATAAAAATAAAACTTTTATATTATAGATATATATAATTATATTTGTTATTAAAATTTGACTTTACTAAATGGGCTAGAGACAAGTTCTGTCATCATAGCGCCCATAAATAAGGCTCTATACACAAATATTCACAGAACTGTGAACGCCATGATACAATAAAAGAAAGAACTTAATACTGGTTTCAATGTTACAATTGCAACCAAGGCATCTATCGGACTCCTAGGATCTCCACATTCATATTGGCACAACTCAACAATTTATCTATTTTTTAGACTAGAATTATCCCACAACAATGCTCACAGACTCCAGAAGCCAAAGAATGCAAATGAGTGAACCCTAAGAGTACTGCAGTCACAGACAATGCTTGAAAATTCAAACACCAAATGGATGAAATATATAAATTTCTTTTGAAAAGTCACTATATTTAAAACATTAATTCTCAGTACATTTACTGAATGAGTGTAAAGAACACAATACAAAACAAAAGAAGAGTGAAGCATATGGTCAACCACAGTATCATTCAAAATAGAATGTTTTAAGTCAACATGTATGTGTCACTAATGAATACACATCAAACTTCTATACCCATGAACTTGAGACACAGTGTAACCTGAATTAAAAAAATCACTACTGTAGTGAACGTGGGTTTTAGACGCACACAGTACGCTAAAATTGCATTGGTGAATACTGTTTTAAGTTAACTAACACTCATGTTTTTAAAAAAATCTTTTTAAATGGAAATATTACAGACCAAACTAAAAAGTGGAAATGATTAAGTAGATCATTCACAGCCATGAAATTCCAACCACAGAAGAATGGATTTAAAGCTAAACTTAATCACTCCAATCATTTGTGCTACTAGATCTGTTGAACTAACATTCCATAGTGTGCAACAAAAAACAGATTCAATAAAAATGGTAAAATTAATTCTTTGTCCATGTGGCCGACCATAGAGGCTTAATACAAATTCATAGGAAAGAAAATAATATCTAAATGGCAAATAGAATCGTTGTCATAATTGAAATTTTAGGAAGATGCACCATACACAATTGTGACATTGCAAAGTAACATTTAATGGCTGATGCTGACACAAATGCAGTAAAGTAGGGAATGTACTAGTCAGATGCTGAAGCAGGGGCTGTCTTCCCATTCACACCATGACAAAAGCCTCTTTGCCGCAAAATAAAAAAGGGTACTGATCAATCATAGTTTGCACCACATCTTCCAAATGTGGTCGCATGGCTTCAAACCGGCCCATATCACTGAACTCTATGGGAAGCAGTGTTGGCCACCAACAAATGGCTAAGTTCTTTGAGTCCATACTGTTCAATTTGCAGTTTTCTGATACCCTACAATAGATAAGATCGCATTAACTATTATGGACAAGGGAGAATAAAAAAAAACAAAAAAACAATTTGGGATCATTCTTTCATACATACCTCACAAAGTGCTGGAAAATGAACTTCAGAACTTCAAAGTTAACGTCTGGCATCTTCTTAAGCAAACTGCGAAGGGCAAGCAGTCTACAGCTTCGATCTCCTCTCACTGTAACATACAGCTCTGATATATCATTATCTTAACCAAGTCCATGAAAGATTCAAGTGAAATTCCAATCTACTGGCAAAGCAGTGTCAAGTCCAAGAAAAATTATAAACTGAAACTACAGCGCGAGCAACCAGAACTGTCTCATTGCAAAGTCATTGTCACTATAAGAATGTCTTTTAGACTCAACTGAAGTTCATTCAGAATTCATTGGGTGAAACCCATAATTAAAAACTCATAGTAACAGTAATATTGCAATGTTACAGCTGTGAGATGAACCATTACTCACCAGATATGTCTTCCAATTCCGTCATGGCATCCTCTGTAAACAATGGTGGTAAACGCTTGGAGAAGAAATCCTTGAGAGCAGTTGCAACAGCATTCACTGGTATGTCCAACTCATGAATATCTACCGAAGAATCTGGAAGTTCAAGGTAAGAATGTTGGGGAGTCATAGACAATTTCTTTTAGAAACCACAAATAGACTCCACAAACAAAAAGAGCAGATAAAAAAATTCACCTTCTTCAAATTTCTGGAAGAGTAAGTCGACGTGTGCGCGATTTCCTGGAACGCGGTAAATGCCCTCCGAGTCGAGTCCTTCTTCTTCAATGAATTTCACGCACTTTTCTAGAAGTAAGGGTACAGCATTGTTCTCAGATTGCACAAAGTCTTGCAGAGTCGGCACCGACGCTCCGGACCCACTGCTCCCTACACCACTGCTTCCACCAGCAGACAGCTGCTTTGTAACAGATTGCTGTTTCTGTTGCTGCTTCTGAATTTTCTTTTTCTCTCTTTCTTTCTCCTTCTCTGCTAGCTTCTTCACTTCTTTTTGACGCTTTTTCTCAAGTTTTTCATCATCTTTGGCTCTTTGTTTCTCTTTCCTCCGGTTAAGTTTGTCATCCTCTTTGACTTTGCTGCCCATGCCAAACTGCGAAGGAAGACATCAACATGATATATACCCTGATTCAAATGTAATCTGCAAAATGAGTCAATATTGTGCCTTGATTATTAATTACCAGAGGAGAATTGACATCTCTAGGGGAAGAAACATCTAGACTGGATTCATCATCATGGATGCGTCCATAGGATCCTTCCAGTTTCATTTTGGCTGAAAAAGTAACCATAATATGAACATTCACGTTGTAAGAAGAAAATCATCCACTGTTGCAACCCAGAGATTCTCAGTAACCTCATGTAATTGTTGAATAAATTGTTAAAAAATTAAAATTCAGGAGGATTAAAACGCTAAACAAACAAGTAAATAAATATTTGTACAATCAAAATGAAGTGAAGTTTAACACACCCAACGTCCCATTGACACTCAGTTGCAGATTTATAAACCTCTACATCAGTGCAAAATTTGTGAACTAGACTAGAAGCAAGACAAGCACATGACAATCACACACACAAAATGTTGCAAATGAAAGTCCCGAATCCAGGCTTTTTGTTGAAAACTACAACAAATAAATTACTACAATAAAGCAAACCCCCACATTGCAACTATTTTCAACTCAAGAAGAGGAACCATCAAACAAAGAAGTTCAAAAAATCTGTACATCAATTAGCAACAAAGATGATGACTTGTGGGAGTCAGTTATGTGAAATGTCATCCATGGATGAAGGCAAAACAGAACAATGAATACCAAACATGCATCACTAAGATTAAACAAAATAACTACACTAAGCAAACTGACCACCCACAGATACATCACAACACAAAATAGATCAAATAAAAGACTGCCGTAGTGTTGCCTTCACAGACCCTTAAAATAAAAATAAATGGAAAGTTCCCCATCAACAGAAAATTCGAATGGGTAATCATGCCACACAAAACAAAATACTACAAACTACATACATCAGTCAAAGTAGCTATAACAATTAGAATGATAGCACACTCGAAAATCAGAACCAAAAGGAAAGGAAACACTTACAGGTGGGGGAGAACATATCATTGTCGAGGCTTGGGGGATTCGGCACCACAGGAGGCCTAGGAGCAGGTCCAAGGGTTCGTTTTTTCAATCGGAATGAATGTTTTTCAAGCTTTGTTTGTGGTCTCATTGCTGAGCCAGCCGACATGTCTGGATCACTTGCATCACTGGCATCTGAAGGTGATTCGCTGTTTGCTGTGGGACAGATTACATGTCCACATATTCTTACATCATCTAGGCAATTTATTTTTTAAAAGAAACCAAAAAACTACAGCCTTAGCTTTACCCAATGTCCCTCCAAAATTTAAAAAATAGATAAACAATTCATGTGATAAATGTCTAAATAGCGAAGTAATTTAAAGCAAAACTAAAAAAGTTTTACACCAAGTAAAATGCAATTAAGGGAAATTCAAAATAAAAGTTAAAAATAAAACAGTGAATCAGCTGAAGATAGCAGCAAAAACATAAAAATGATGCTGTTGCCTGCCACTTGGAATCAAGATCATCGAATTTCTTTTAATCTTTCTACAAAACCCAAAATTTTAAGCTGGGTACCTAGTGCGTAAGTACTTGAAAAACTTGAAGGGTATTTTTATGCTTATTTAGATCAGTTTCAAATGAGGAGGTAGTCTTCACAAAGAATCCTTCCCCAGAGAAAAATAATTTAGTGTTCAAAAGATAAGAATGCACAAAGTCTGTACCTCTTTCAAGGGAATCGCCCGCACCCCGGGACTTGTCATCCTTTAAGCGATAGCTAAGCATTCCTGCCCCATCAGCAGATGGTGCAAAGGATTGCATGTTGGGAACCCTTGGGGTAGGAACAGGGATGGCCGTCCGCTTCTTACGGACACGCTTGTGAGGCGTGGGCTTGCGACTTGCTTTATTATAGGCCTCTGCAGCTCGCTGCTTTCGCTCCAATGAGCTCCAGTCACTGTCCGATTCAGAGAAAGCTAGGAAACAACACATGGCATTAGACAAACCAGACAGTGGAAATCGCTCTCTCCACATTTCAGAAATTCTGTCGAACAGGGTGAACAGCGATGAAGAATTAGAGAGCGATGGATTGAAAACCATGTTGTAAAATGATCACTTCACATCCCTACCATGGGTCACAACAATTCTGTTCTCTAACTATGATTCCCATCTACTTTTCATTTGAACAGAAAACAAAGCACCCAAAAGATGGCATTGTCTACAAGCGCAGAGAAGAAAAAAAAGCCACAAATGGTAGCTCTTACACCACACAATTGTTAAACCAGAATATTATATTTAACTTTTTTAAAAAATAAACATGGGTTAGTGACACAGTCTGTTTGTATCATGAGAACTCATCTACATTGAGGTTAAGTCACATTACTGCCCAAGACAATCTTTTACAAGACTAATATGTAAAAACAAGATCAAAATAAAGAATATAGAATATGTCCTAAACAGAATAGTACTATGTTAGTGTTGTCCATAAAACTTACCAGGACGGCCCTTCTCTCTTCGGTGTCGAACTTTTGATTTGTTGTTGCCAACAGCATCCTGAACCAGGGCATAAGTATACTCTCCATCAAAGGACGAATAGAGATTTGGGACAGCATCTTTCACCTAAATAAAACATTAAAGTTTCCTTCAGTATGGATGAAGTTAGGGAGTACTTTCAAATACTTCAAACATACTGAAAAATTCAAAATGCATTTCCATAAACCGTGTGATCAACAGGAAACAAATGAATTATTTCATAGAAAAAGTGGATAAGCAAACACACACAGCTATGTATCAGGTAAGACAAAAAAAACTGCGCTGTTTTTGAGGATTTTTTTTTTTTTTACGACAATATGCTAACTGCTAACCCAAGGTACCACACTTTCAACACAGATATTTTCCAAAGAAATTTTGAAATGAGTATATCACACAAGTTGAAGATGTTGCAGCATAATCATCTATTGTGTAAAATAACTAAACTACAGTATGCTAATCATGCAGTTTAATTCATGCACAGCTGTGTCTGAAGTTAAATATCATGCCCATGAATAGTAATCAAATAGCACAACAGAATCTAAAGAAAACCAATTAAAAGAAATAAGAAAACTTATTCCCTCCCATCAACCACAACAGACTTCCAACGAATAAAGATTAACCAGTGGGTGGGGGAACCTTGACTTCTTCTCAAATTTCTTAACATCCTCACCTGTGCGTACTCTGAGACTACATCCATGTTTTCTTCTCTAGCAAGGGGAGCATGGTGGCCATACACAGGTCTATGTAACTTGACTAGTTTTGAGTCCTTTCCTTTCACATTTGCGTTCACATTCATGCGAGCAATAGCGTCTGTCACCAGGGAGTATTCCTCCATGTTCAATTTGCCAGGTTGCTGGAATAGTTGTGGTTAGAATATAAAATGGTGGTTATTGAAACACTCACCCACAGAACAAGACACGAAAATCCTAGTTTGACAACCCAGCAAGAAAAATGAATGATACCCGTTTCTTGTTGGACAAAACATAAAATGGAGTAAAATGGAAACATAACACAAAATAAATGAATAGAATATTACATAAAAATAGAAAACTGCTGAAGTGAAATCGCATGGGTTTCATGCTGCCTATACTGCAGTGGTTTTCTAAGCATAAGGCCAACAAAAAGCTATATTGTTATGAAGCTATGCAGAAAAAAAAATTAACTGCTTGAAAAGAGGAGATTAGGATGAGCATACTTTTACTGCTTTTGGTTTGAATCATGTACATTAAAAGAAAATATAACATGCTGTCTTGTTAATAAATGAGAAGATGATATAAAATCTAAAGCACAGGCATGTCAAATAGCAACATGAAAACGAGTTACTTAAGCTGAATTTTATAAGAGATGGGAGAAAAGAAGATAGTATTACCTTTAAAGTGTGGCTGTTACCCTTTGGCCTTGTTTTAGGCGGTGGGACATGGCGCCGACCAGTAGTGAAGGCACGGTGAGCATAATTGTTCATCCACATACCATCATCTCCATCAGTGCGATGAAGGAATACTGAATCATCCACCCATCCTGCAATATGAAAAAGTAATTTAAAAAATTTTAAATGTATAAAATGACAAAGCAAAGTAAAGGAGAAAACTGCTACAATCAGGAGCCAGGTGTCCTGCTAAAAACTGGTGCACTAAACAAACACACAAAACAAGAAGGAAAATAAATAAAAAGGTCAAGCACAAAACAGTGTGTGTCATGAAAATTTACCATAATGGCTCTCACAACAGAAAAGGGCATCAACTCAACAACAGAAAAGAACCAAACTAGAATCCACAACAGAAAAGAAGAAACAAACTAGGAAAACAAACAAATGCTACTTAAAATCCAGAAACAACTTCACCTGAGTCTCTGGTGGCAAGGGACTCCCTTGATCCACTTATGTCAGCTAGGGAAAGACACAATAAAGAATTAGTTGAAAGGCAAGGGACATGGAGTACACAAAAAGGAACATGAGATTATGCCTGAAGCATGGATTGAACATCAAAATGCTCATACCCAAAGACACAATGAACCTCTCAAATAGAAGCAATAAAAATTAAGGATCCAAAAGAGCAATTTTACAAGAATTAATTTTAAGACAAAAATTAGAATTGAGTTTTTGTTATGATGAGGTACAAATGAGGGAACCCAGCTCTTCTCAACAGGACCAGGAGCAAGAATGTATTCTGAAGCTATCATAAATAGCAGACAGTTCTGCTTCATTCAGAAAAGAAGAGTGTACTCTTGCTCTGGAATGTAAAGCATTAGAATATTCCGCAGTCAAATGCTGCAATCATTTTCGAGCGAGATGTTTGTGTTCTTTTTCCTTAAAAGGGGGAAGAAACTTATGAAACGTTGCACAGCATGTTAAGTTAAGCTAATGTGAACACAGAGTTGCCACTATAGGCAAGTAGCAGCAGCAACATTCCAACAAAAGAAGCTGATTAGCAACAAATAAAATGAATCAGGTTGACAAGCACTGAAAAAGGAAAGAACAAAATCCACAGTCCAATCACTAATGGGGGAAACAAAACATTCATGTGTTTGATTAAAAAAGGGTCACCTCTACCTGCCTAAGATATACATACAGGTTTGTGAACTACATGTCAGCTCAAACATCATACAGGGAAGGAAGAGGAGCCACTGGACTTAAGAAATACAAAAAATATTTTTAAAAGTCGAGCATGGAGACCAGCAAAATTAAAAGAAGGAAAATATACCAGCAACATAGAGCATTGCAAAGAATGCACGTCTATAAAAATAATTGATCACTGCTAAACAGTGATGAGAGAAAGACCATGCTTTGGCAAGTATGAAATAATGTTGAAAACGGAGTTAATTAATATGTAATATCTATATCAACATGCAAACGCGGAAGGAAAGGGCCCCAAGCAAATTCCCCAAATCCTCTCTTTTCATTTAAATAGATAAAAAATATATGAAGGCATAATGTTTCACCAGAAATGGGTGAAAAAGTCACGGAGTTCTTTGTACAAATATTCAGACACTCTACAGTCTAAAAATGACTTTTTACCCCATCTTGGCAAGTGTGCATGCTAAAAATTCTGAGGAATGGAATTTCATTGTTTAGAGTAACAGGTTGTGCATGACCGAAATGTAAGCACCTATCACATGTGCATGTTGAAGACTAATTTGTAAAGCTAATATACGGTACATGTGATTTCGTCGAGACTGGTGTGAGATCCCGAAGGCAGCGTAGTAGCCTTGACGAGCCGATGTCGCGGTGGGTGGTCGGGGGGCGCAGGCTCTGGGGGAGTGGTGGGAGGGGGGTACACCTGAAACCCTGTGTACAGCAACCAACAACCACCATCACCACCACACACCACAAACCCCAAAGCAAGAGCACTCCGCTCACTCATCTCGTTCAACAACTTAAATTGAGACATGACATGGCCTATAAGGTAGCACAGTCCATAGAAATATAGGCTTGATGGATATACAGCCAGAGAACAATGTGAGGGAAGAATTTACGGCCAGAAAGTCAAAATGAGCAAAACTTTTAAATATTCATATCAACTTTGTGAATGAACTTGCGTGTTAACATATACAGAAAAATTACAGTAAAATTTACAATACAGCACAAGAGCGATTCGCATGTTTCCAGTTGCAAAGACATTGAAATCCATGAATAGCATAGAAGTGGATAAGCTTATCTTACCTTGATGCATTTTTGCATTCTTGATGTCACTTGGTTTGACTAGGCTTTCACCATTCTCTTGACTGTACATATCCACATGGGAATAAATATCACTGTCGTCACTGGGACTGAGCATGCGATCATTGAATGATGGTGAAAGATTGATATCATCTCCCTGAGATGCATCAGTAGGAAGCCGCTCATAAATTTCTGATCCACTCCTAATCAAACCAAAACTCAAATTAAAGCACATCAGGTACAAAACTAACACTCAACAAAGCAACAGATTGGAAAAAGACTGACCCATCATTGGAGCCACCTTTACAATGGTAACTTTCGAGACGAGGTGGCGGCCTTGGCCTGCGTCCTGGCCTCACTTCAAGAGTACATTCTGCTGATCGGCTCAGACCAGGTGGTTCCTCCATATTAAAAGCCTGTTCTATTTCTGGTTTCTTGTCCCACACTTCTTTGAAGAACGGTGTGTAAAAAGCAGCTAAAAATTTAAAAAAAAAGGGTCAGAACCTGATTTGAGAATCAACTGAGGGTAAAGCCTTAAAACTGGTTTTGGCAACTCACTTTTCTGTTGACATGAAGACGAAGAAGTCATAAAGTGAGCTTGCAATCGATCAGCAACAGCATTGCCTTCTGTCATGAGTAAGTGGCTGAGATCACTGCTGAAGAAAGCATTGGCACCTCCTGTATCTGTCACTGCCATTATTTGTATGGGCAGGTTGGGTATGTTCATGGAAAAGGCGCTACAATGTGAAAGATAAAAATTATATTTAGAAATTTGTTGGTAAGAAGTTCCTTAAGACCACTTGGAAACACTTTGAAAAACTTACTTCAATGTGGCCAGTGATGCTTTTCGTTTGGTTGAGTAAACTAAAATAAATCCATGAACAAGGTCATCTCGAAATGCATTGGCACCATGATACGAGGAAATGATAACTTCAACCTTTCTTTTAGAATCCCCAAGAAAGGTTTCAAGGATAATACTGCGTTCACCACTTAGAAAGCAGCATTGATGATTCAATAATGGACCAAGGACATTTTCAACAGAATATGGGTCACCACAAAACATACACATGATGATCCTGAAAATTCGAAAAGAGAAAAAATAATGTACGGAAATGGTTGAACTTGGCTGGACATATCAATCTAAACACCTGGCATACCTTATGTCAGGCTCAGAGCCATCCATTACAGATTGATATACATTAATGAAACCAGCTCTATGATGAATACTCAGAATCAGTTGACGTAAAGCATCAGCAACTAAATTGGCATTGAATCGCTGACTGGGATCTATGTCCTCCATTGTGACATCAATGAAGGGGCATTGAAGGCTGCAATTGATGAAAGTGAAAAGAGCAAAATGAATGACCTGATTTGGAATTCAAAGGGTCAGTAGTAAAAATAGGCAACTCTGAATACCTGTCAGCAAGACTTTGACCCTCTTCTCTGAGTCTTAATACTTCCTTCTCCTCAACAGAAGGATCAGCGACAAACAATATAACAATAGGAAGCCCTTGGAATGGGAGCCGATCATCCTGCTCTAAATTAGAAAGCAGTGTTTTCTCCAAACTTTCACGAACATACTCGAAGGTATGTGGATTTGAGTACACACAGAAGCATCCTTAAAAAATAAATATGAATTTTAAGTTAAAAACAAGACAGAGGTGAAATTGAAAGAAGGAACAATAATTTAACATCAGATACATACCATGTGGAACAAAGTCAGTGGTTTTGAAAGAGTTCTGTGGCAAGCTGACATCACCGTCAATGATTCGGTAATCTAAGCTGTACAGCTGACAGTCAATTTCGTATTCATCATCATCACACTGAGTCTGTTAATAAAACAATAATGGCAAATTTGGAACAAGAGGTTTGATAGAAAGGACTGAAAGTGTATGTAAAAGACAGACACATACCCGAATTTCAGTTGCCAGTTCATCTGCCAGTCCGTCTATACCCAAAATCACCAAGTTCAATTGGTTATTGTCGGAGCTAAGAAGCCATTGGCTACTGTGGGTCCAAGAAGATGGCCTAAATAAGAGTAAAAAATTTGTTAGTAAAGCTAACAGCAACTTAGGCGGAGGAAAACAAAACTTGTGACTTGACTTACCTGTGTGCTTTGTTTGCTAATATGCGTTCAATAAGGGCATCCATGCAGTTGGGAAAGGCTGGACAATGTTCTCGAATGGGACAGTGAACAAAGCCTAAATGCTGGAAGAGCATAAGCTTGCGGTCTTGATCAAGACGATCCAATGCTTTATATCGGGAATCTTCCTGAAGAGCATCAGTGATCTCCTTAATATCATCTTGGGTTATTGTACCAGTCGGGGCCATACTCTTGAAATGATAAAATAAATCTGCATGCTCCAAAAGGAGTTCCTGATAACAAAATAAAATTGTTTAACACAAATGAGCCACCTGTGAAAACAGTCCAAAGGCAACAGTGAATGCAAAGTTCTTACCTGGAAGTTGTGTTTGGCTTTTTCAACAATCTCTTTTTGATGCCTGTCATAAATTGTTTGACATTCATGATCAGAAAGCGCTTCAAAGCACTCACGGCCCATAAACAACACTCTAACTTCAGACAACAATTTTCCAGGAGTAACATATCCAGTGTCTTCCAGCAACTGCTTAAACTGCTTTTTCCACCTATGTAAATATTTTTTAAAAGTTTAAAAAAAAGATGGAACAAGAATTAAAATTGATTAGAATACAAGATTAATATTGAAGCAATTAAAACAATCAAAACATGTAAGAAACAGAATTGGCACAGCACAGCACACCACAATTAAATTGCCTGAAGCAGAAATGAACATACCTTTTGGGTAGCCTTCACCATTAAATCAGCACGTACAGGAAAAGGACAATGAGAATCACCATGTTAGTAAGATCATTGTGTTAGTACAACATGAAAAAACTGAGCATAGGCTATGCAGCAAGATCACTATCACTCTGTAGCTTTCTCCCGACCTAGGGGTGGGCGGTATTTCAATATATTGAATACAATTTCAATATTTTAAAATATTGGAAATCCAATATCACTATATTGAAACTTTCGATATCAATATTCGATATTGAGTATTGGTGAACCAATATCCAATATTGAACATTCAAATTTACTGTGCGATATTGTTGAGAAAATAGATAAATAGAGAACGATACTTGGTCCAGTCACAAAGAAAACTGTGCAGAGGAGCTTATTTTTGTGCTTAAAGTGAAGCTTATGAGTCTTATGCAGATTCTAACTATCAAAATTGGAGATGATCGTCAATATATTGAAAAACAATATTTCAATATAGGTATCGGTACCTCAATATTATCGAAAATTCAATATTCAATATCAAATATAGATATTGGTGGTGTATTGGATATTTTAAAATATTGGATATTGATATCGAGATGAAAATACCGCCCAGCCCTATCCCGACCCAAGCACCACAAAGAGCGGCAGCAGACTCTCCCCAAGAAATGACATTCAGCTTGACATTACTGATAAGATGGTGTTAAATTATGTAAAAGCAGAGCTGCGATAACCATGATCCCAGCTGAAAGGGAAAGGGGCCAAGCTAGGGAAACTTACTCTAGTCTCTTCTGCTCCTGTTGTAATGCATTCACATGATTTTTGAACACAGTTTCAGCTTCATTTGTGTCGAGTACATCAAATGGTATGCGAGTCTCGGATGGGTCATCAAAATCACCTTCTGTCCATGGTAACTCATCGGGACACTCATAGAAATATTGAGTGTAATCTGGATGGTCTTTGATGTGTTGTTGAACTGACTCCCAGTCACTGAAACCATGACAAAAGGCAAAATGGTCAAAACAATCCAAAAATCTTTATTTGCAAACATTATTTTGTAAAAGGCTGCCGTTTTTCACCTGTCTTGAAGAGTATTGAGGTCAGGAATCATTTCTTGCAGTACATCAGGTAACATTTCCATGAATCCTTGCACACGTTCAGCCAAATATTCATCTTTTAATTTCTTAACATGACGTCGGAAAAGACGGTGAGCACTGTCCATTCCAAATTGATCGACAAAGCGCAAAAAGTCAGGTAGGTTGGTAAGTTTCTTTGATGTAGACACCCATCCTGCTCGATAGTCCGTAACCTGTAAAGTATAAACAAATGTATTTAAGTTTTATTTCTCTTGTTCCAAAGTCCAAAACCAAGTCTATAATTAAAAGAAAATCCATTTTCAGGGAGTCCCCTAGTAAATAAAGAAACATACCTGAGACCGAATGAGTCTCTGAAATACTTCAGTGGCTTGTTCCAACACCTCTTTGCGCAATCTAGAAGCTTCAGAGAAGGGTACAACCTTCATCCTGCCTTTGGAACGGTCAATGAGCTGGGCCAAAGCAATAAATGCTGAATCTACGTTGATGTTTTCGTGAGCTGATGTTTCTACCATAGGAATAGCACCTTTATACTCCTTACGAGTGACCAGCTTTTCAGCTTCTTTGACATACGCTTCATTGGCCTCGTCATTTTTTGTTGTGACCAATATGACAGGTTTCTTAGTTTTCACAATGTTGTTAAGGATTGCAGCAACCACTTCGGTCTGTTTGTCTATAGATCTGCTTGGAACCACACTCACATCATAGAGGCAAAGGAATCCATCAACATTGAACTTGCCATCGGGTATGACCTTCTGTTCATACTCCTTCTCAATACCTAAGAAAATGATCAAGATAGAAATGTTTAAAACTGTTGATAGAAAAAGTCATGTCCTAACTATTATAATAGTCAAAAGTTGTATTTACCCAGCTGATTTTTACAGATGTACATCAGTTTCTCAGCAGAAGTTAGTTTAGTGTTGGTGCATCTTTTCATGTAGGGTTCCATTTTGCCACCTTGAAAAGAAGATAATGTTTGAAGAATGTTCCATCATAACATATTTCAGGAAAACAAAAACAAGAAAAGAAAAAACATATTTACGATAGCAACAAACATACCTTTGAAGGGTTGAAATGAAGCATCGTCTATGAATTCTGTTTGCTCAATGACTTGGAAAAGAATTTCTTGCCCTTCCTCCGTTCCTTTGACCACATCACCCCAGTACAAGAAGTGGTCATTGTTAACAACTCTTCCACTGAAATCCGTCTGGAAGAGGGCATGAATGTGAATATACAAGATTAAATATACTCTACTTGCCATCTTATCAGATAGTTACCTGACTGAGAACTGATATATGATCCACACTGTAGTCATCAGCTAAGGAGCGCATGAACCGATTGCACAGGCATGATTTCCCAACCCCTTGCTGGCCCTTTTCTTTTTCTGTTCCAGAAAGGCCCACAACAGCCACATTAATTGCCCGTAAGGATTCCCCCTTACGAGCCATACTGCTGCGGAACTGGAAAAGAAAGTCGATAAAGTTAAAGGATAATCACTAATCAGCTAGAGTTTTAAAAAACAAAAACTTCAGAAGTAAATTATTTGACAAAGTAAATCTGAATGACATGCTCTTAAATTCAGTTTTCTACATTTAAATTCTACAAGTTGAGCAATTAAGTTTCAAAACTCAAATTTAAAAAAAATTGAGGTTGTCTACAAAGCAACTAAATTCGAAACAACTTACCATTGCAGCTAAGATTTGTTAACCACACAACGGACAAAATGTGTTCTTCACCTGACATTGTCCACAAAAATACATTTGTTCCACAAAGAGCCTTTACAGATAGACAAGAAAAAAGAAATGTTCAAATCAAAATTATTGCAAGCAACTACAAGAACGTAACAAATTACTATCAATTCTTAAATACATTACAAAACGGAAAGAGAAGAAACTATAACCATACTACATGCTCTAAGTTACACTTCAGCCATTACAATAGAAAATAATTTCTCTCTTAAAATAAAAAGATGACGTTTACCAAACTTTAATTGACATGCAGATATAATTTACAAGTTTATACCTGTACTAAATTCATTACAAATTTGAAAAATAAAGATGATCAACTTACCTTGACGGCTGACACTGAGTGTAGCTTGGCAGCTCACCAGTATGTAACTACCATATTGAAAATGATAAGCATTGAGAATGTTGCAAAGCATTTAGTCTCATATGGCCCCCACCTAAAATGAGTTCGACGAATTACATCAGAACACACAGGGGCACCTGAAATTTAAAATAACAGGATTAGTATAAGAAATCAAACAGAATACCCTCATACAATTGGTCTTAGGGAATATTTCACAAGCGTGAACTGACATAAATGAGAGCTAATCAATATTTTTTTTGAAAAGAAAGACACAATGACAAAGAATGGCATAAATGGAAATTGTGAACCAGTGAGACCCCCACAAACAAAAATTTAGAAATCATGTTTGCTTAAAAAATAAAAAAAAACATGAGACAAACACAACAAAGTGACCCAGAAGACTCGGAATGCAAATTTAATGTTATGTGGCACGCATGTGCAGAGGAAGGGTTTTAGAGTTTTCAAGGATTTAACATTGAAAGTTGAATCTGCAGATTGATTACACCCATAAAAACATTTTCACTCATGGGATGAATGAACAAAGACAGAGAAAGAACAGAACTTGAATGATTTCACCAGCTCCAAAACACAGGATAGTTGATCATTTGTGGTTCTGCTAGGAGTTCCATTGTCTCGCACACTGATCGTTCGTCGAAATAAACAGTGGAAATGCGGGAGAAACGACAAAAAGTGTTGACTTGAAAGAATGAAAGACATCGAGCTTCTCAAATGAAGTTACAATACAAGGATGAATGAAAGTATTCCGACTGTTCTTCCTCGCAAAGGAGTACTCGGCAGGGGGTTGTCGCTGTCACTTACATGGGCAGACGGATCGGCGAATGCGTTTAGAGAGGGAAATTGTGCTGTAGGCCCAGATGTGCAACGAGCACGAACACCCACCTTGTTTTTAGACACTACCGCAACACGTTCTGAGAGGATTTCGCTAATTACTTGACAAATAAGTGCGAAATGTTCCAACCTCGAGTTGGGAGGATCCGGAGCATCCACAGTTCATTGATGTCGCTCACGATATTTCCTCAAACCGCTTCACAGAAAACACGAAGATGTGAAATCACAGACTTTAAAAACACCGTTCACTATTCGAACAAAAGCAGAATAACTTAAATAAAGAAAATGTCACTTTGTGTTCACTTGTGAAACTCTGGTTTGTCTACTGATTTGGACGCCATGTTAGAAAATTTCTGCGATTCGGTACCCCGTGAGCCTAAGCATCCCGTAAAGTCGACTCTCTAGATATTTAAGCCGGTGTCATGCGTTGCAAAACGTACCGCAATTCTCCAAATAGTTTCTGATGAAATCGAATCGGGACGAGGGCGTTGCTTTTCGTTAAAAAGCAGCTGTGTTGTTTGAAGTTGATAATCAAGGAAGCCGTGGTCGTTCAATGGTTCCTGGGCGCATGGATTCAAAAAGCTCGGGGCCAATGGGAGGCAAAAGAAGGGTTGCCTTCTAGGGTTTGTGATTCTAATTATGGCGATGGCTGGAGTGCACTAAAATATAAAAAATGGCAGTAGTGGGCCATAGAAATCCGTGAGACAAATGATTTTCGAGTTTCGTTATTTCAAAGATGACTGACGTATCCGACGGTACTATGGGGAAAGATTCAGAAACTGACGAACTTTTGAGACTGCGAGGGGCAGCAGAGGAAAATGTGAGTGTGATAAGAAGACAGTGTCAAGAGATAGCTGCTCTGAAAAGTGAACTAAACGCTGTACTCTCCGAAAGAGACATGCTTTTGTGTGAAGTGAGCAGATTGAAGTTCGAGATGGAGATGTCGGATTTGAAGCGTCTTCACGAAGGAAGGTAAGTGGTAGTGGCCTAGCATTCCAACCTCGACTGTCAGTGCTTTGCTTTATGGCTGAGCACTGAGCCTGTCAGCTGTTGCTGCTTTTATGTAAAGCTTTGTATTTAAGGCGAGAGGGGGTAAATTCTATTGTGCACTTAGTGTTAAAAAGGGTAATATTTTTTTGTTACTTTGTGTTGTTTGTATGCAATGGGTATGACTGTCATTGTCACTCATGCCAGAGAGGCCCATGTGGTTCTTAGCTGTCATTCATCTAGTGTTTACATTCAGTTTGTCATGTCATATAATTTGTCTTATTGTATTCAGTCTAATAACTTGTGTTGATAAACAACATTATTGCAACATAATTGTTCACTAAGAGATTCCTTACTGGCAATAGCCAATATGGAACCAAGTCAGACTTTGCCCTTTAGACCAAAGTTCGTATTCCATTGAATCCCACAATTACTTTCCCGACTTAAATTAGAAATGAAGTTATTTCTAGGACACATTTCTTTTTGTTTCCTTAAAAGAATTGTGACAAGTGATTAAGCTTTATTTAGTAAGCCCATTTTCAGTGCCCCCAGTTCTTGTTTTGCACGCTTCGCTCAGATGTGGGAAACGTTCAAGTTCGGTCTTCTATGCGGTACTCATTTCCTTCGTGCTCTTGTTAGAACGAGCTGTGCTATGTTTTGTCGTAAAATGAAATAGGGTTTTATTCTTGGCTGCATTTTTGTGAAAGAGGGTCAATTTTGAGATTGGTGGTGTCCTCGCCTTGATGACCTGCCTGAGTGAAGTTTCAGGATTACCTTACCTCTCTCACGGCTCGCGCCGAAGAGAGGTGATTTTCAACTGTTGCGCGGTGGGGGCGAGAGAGGCGGGGGCGGCGGGCCGAGGGTCCTACCGTAGGGGTGGCGGGGCGTGGCGGTGGGGCGTGGCAGGGGTGTGGCCGGGAGGCTGTTTTGGCGCGGTTGGAGGGAAGGGGCACTTCAAACAGTTCGAGCCGAGCCGAGCGGAGCCGAGTCGAATCAATCCGAGCCGTGTTGAACGGTGCCGAAGCGTCGAGCCGAGCCGGGGCGCCGGGCCGGGCTAGGACCCGGGACCCATCCCCCGGGTGGGCCGGGCCTAGCCGGGCCGGGCCGGCCGAGCTCGCCGGGGGAGGCTAGGACTAGGGGAGGTTTCGGCTGCGTCCGCGGTCGATTCGAGGATGGCGTGGGTGTTGGCAGTGTGGGGGAGGGAGTGAGGCCGGCCCAGGGTGGCCCCGGAGGCAGCCCCGGCCGGGCCCCGGCACCGAGGCCACGCCAGGGCAATGCCTCCGCCCCCACCCCACCGTGCCCACCGTGCCCACCGCCACCCCGTTCCCGGGGCCTGGCAGACCGGGCTCCAGGCTCCAGGCCCGGGGAGGCTGCAGACCTCGCTGGGGGGCTGGGCTCGCTGATGCCACGCGGAAGGCTGGCAGCCCGGCCGCGCCCCCCTCGCTGCCCCCACACTGGAGGCAACAGCTCCCCCCGGGCCCCTCTGGGGATAAAGGCGTGGAAAGAAGGATGAGGATGAACAGGCGCTGCACGGCGCGGCGCGGCCCCTCTTGGAAGACTCGGTCGGAAGCGTTCCAGGTCCGTGCCGCCGTGCTGCGGCATGCGGCGTTCCGATCCCCGTCTGCACTCCCCGCCACCCCGGCCACGGTGGCCAAGCCAGGCTGCGCCCACGCGGCACAGTGGGCCAGAAGACCGGTGGAGGCGGCCAAAACTCGAGACGCGTTTTGAGCTCCAGAGTCGCTAGATGGGACTCGAACAGAGCGTGTGACCCCACCAATGGATTCCTCGTTCGGAGAGCAATCCATTGGTGGGGTCACACGTTCGGTTCGAGTCCCATTTAGCGACTCTGGAGCTCAAAACGCGTCTCGAGTTTTGGCCGCCTCCACCGGTCTTCTGGCCCACCGTGCGCGGTGCTCTCGGACTCGCGGGGGTTTACCATGCCGGGTCACCGGCCGAGCCGTTCAGAAGATTCGTGTCTGTCGCACTCATGGGGCTCTCCATAGGTGCGAGAGAGCCAGCGACAAATCGGTCTTCCGGATCGCTCGGCGGGGTCGTCCTGGAGGAGAGTGCCACTCGTGCGTGCATCCTGGACGGAGTCCTGACAGAATCCCGGGCGGTGCGGACGTCGCTTTGCACCCGCTGACCCCCGAGAGGGCCGAGGGCTTGGTCGAGGGGACTAGACGGCGTCCCGGATGCTGAGCTTGCAGGATGGCGTCGACTCCTTTTGTTTCCCCGCTCACCGGCCGGGCCGTGCCGGGCCGTGCCGGGCGGCGGCAGCGCGGCAACCGAGCGGTAAAGCCAGGACCCCCAGGCCCCGGCCAAGGCCTCGGCCCAAACCATTTTACGGCCGATTTAATACTCTGTCTGTGGTTATTGCCGGCCGGGCCGGGCAGGGCAGATCTGCCGTGTCAGTGCGGACCTTTTTTTGGCGCGAAGTCGATGACGTCACCGTGTTGGCCTTATCGACGTGCCTCTTGTCGGAGGCGGCGAGGCGGCCTGGCTCCGAACGGCGTGCTCCGTCTCTCTCGCACTCGCGGGGCGTGCCCAAGGGGAGCGAGGGAGACGGAGCGACGGGAGATAAGGAGCGGAACCTTCGGGATAGGCAACGCGAGGAACAAGTGCGCGGGCAGGGAGCCAGCGGGGCGCCTGCACTGCCACGGCACTGCCACGCCCCGAGAGAAGGCGACCGTGTCGAGTGAGTCAGCCACCGCGCGGCCTTGCCTGCCTCGCCTGCCTCGCCTCGGCTCCAGCCCGCCAGCCGCCAGGTCCACCAAAACACCCGAGTGCAGGTGCACAGTGGGCCAGAAGACCGGTGGAGGCGGCCGAAATCCCAGACGCGTTTTGAGCTCCAGAGTCGCTAAATGCGACTCGAACCGAACGTGTGACCCCACCAATGGATTGCTCTCCGAACGAGGAATCCATTGGTGGGGTCACACGTTCGGTTCGAGTCTCATTTAGCGACTCTGGAGCTCAAAACGCGTCTAGAGTTTCTTCTGAGCCACTGTGCGTCGGACGGTCCACTTTAAGGCCGCACCTTCGCGCCTGCTGGGTAGGCAACACCTGGTGGCGCGTCGCACCACTGCGGAGAGGGTGGCCTACCTCGGGCTGGTCAGGCGGCTGGCCAGGCGGGCGCTGTCCTGGACGCCGCGGCCCCTGGCTGCCCCTGGCTCTGCCGCCGCCTGGGCACAGCTTGCTCTGGTGCACCATGGCTACCATGGCAGACGACGGGCTGGTGGCGCGTTTATCGCGGCCCAAAGTTTATTCTCTCACTCAGGACTGTTGGTGTTGGTTTGGCCCCAATCGGGCGGACGGCGCGCGACGGTCACTGCTTGCTCGGCTTTTGTTTGGCGCTGGTTCGCGCGTCTCGGCGTTGCAAGAAAAGGGGGGGGGCAGTCGTAACGAAGGAGACATCGCCATTGTTACCAAACAAGCAGAGTTACAACATAAACGACCATTTCTTATTTTCGTTCCGACAGTTTGTGCTTGCTTGGAGTAGTATGGAGTCTGGATGCGTTTCGCCGGTCGCGCCGCACTTCCTGTTTGAACAGTGTCCTGTCTCGCTCGCTCCCCCTGCGGCACTGCGGGACAGGCCCTGAGTGCGAGAGAGACGGGTTGGCCCGACTACGGCGCACAGTGAGCCAGGAGGCGGCCAAAACTCGAGACGCGTTTTGAGCTCCAGAGTCGCTAAATGGGACTCGAACCGAACGTGTGACCCCACCAATGGATTGCTCTCCGAACGAGGAATCCATTGGTGGGGTCACACGTTCGGTTCGAGTCCTGTCAAGCGACTCTGGAGCTCAAAACGCGTCTAGAGTTTTGGCCGCCTCCACCGGTCTTCTGGCCCACTGTGCGGCGGGGACGGCCAGAGCCAGAGGGACGGAGCGCCCTCTGACTCAGCGGCTCTCTGGGGCTGCGCAGGGGTTGCGCCGGGCTGGGCGCACTGCGGGGTTGGGGTGTGTGAGTCACTTGGCTTTGCTCGCTGTCGCTTTGCTTTGCACCGGGGAGGGAGTCAGTGCGCAATCTGTTGGAGAAATTTCGCAATGTAGCTCCCACTGTTACTGTTATTCGACGACTATGACGTCACAGTGTCCTCAGTATATATATTTTTGTGTGTGTGTGTGTGTGTGTGTGTGTGTGTGTGTGTGTGTGTGTGTGTGTGTGTGTGTCCTCGGAGGCGCGGCAAACTGCAAAGGACACGGAAAGGCGCCGTTAATGAGGTGCAATTTGTCCATTGAGCGATTGCGAAGTGGAGTGGGGTTCAGCCTAGAGTCGTCGCGCTGCCTGTCTGTCTCTCCCGCACTCGCGGGAGAGAGAGAGAGAGAGAGAGAGAGAGAGAGAGAGAGAGATAGAGAGAGATAGAGAGAGAGAGAGAGAGAGAGAGAGAGAGAGAGAGAGAGAGAGAGAGAG